TAACTCGCAAACTGATCATCCGATTTGGCTCAAATTTTGACTGAGTTAAGGATGGTTTTATCTAAAACTGATGTGGATTTGGCAGTATTTTCGTTATTTCTGTATCAGGCCAAAGACTTTTCAGCCCATGTAGTATATGGATAGAAATTCAGAGTGATTGATTTCTGCTAAAGAAAAATCTCAGACAAAAGATATTATTTCTTTCAATGAAAACATATTGAAATGAAAACGAAATCGATTCTCGAATCTTGTACATTTTACCTTTAATAATAAATATTAAATTAGAGATATGAATACATTCAGATTGAAGTGCTCTTGAATCTATATCAACTAAACGTGCAATAGCCATGCTCATGAAGAATATCGAGATTGGTCATGTGTTATGTATTATAACAAGAAGAAACATTTTTAATTTTTGTAAAAGTATGAATTTTTCATTTGTTTGAAAAAAAAATTTTGTTACAAAAAAATTTTCAGCGAAAAACAACCGTTTCTTTTGATAGTACAGCTATTGAAACGGTTACACAAATTTGAATCAAGAATTACAATATTGGAGAACTGAACCAAATTTTAAAATAAACTTGAACTCTTCAATTTGTGTTTGCTCTTGAGATTTTGACGCACTGAATTAATTTCTCGTTTTGAATAGCGCCGAGTTCGTAACTCATGGTGTAAATATCTAGAAATAAACATTTTCAATAAAATTTTTGAATTTTTGGGACCAATTGAAAAAGTTTATTTACCTGGCCTTTCAATTCTTAAAACTCCAATTGTGATAATCAAAAGTCCTTAACGAGCGAAAAGTTCAAACTAGTCCAAAGAGAACTTCAACATTGCTTTTATATAACGAAAAAAATTCATGAATAATTTAATAGAAAAACTGAGGTGTGACTATAGTCGAGTGATTTTCCACGTTCAAACAATTTTCCATAATTTATCATTGGTCAGAGTGCATAGGATGCGACAAATGAAATAATATGTATCGGTTATATTTTACGGTGATTGGTCCGTGCATGAGTCAATAATTAAGAGGGGAGGGGATAGCGAATGGAAGCAAGAACTAAACGTATAGGTACATCAGTAATAAACAACACAAAGTGAATATTTTCCAATATACCATTTGGCATCGACTTCTCTTCGAAAAATATTGAAAAGAAATCCACAAAAAAAATCAAATTTGGAGTGAAACAATCTTTAAGCCTCAGCTGTCAATGCTTATAATTTTCATTCACATTTGTTTTACACTTTGTTCATTATCAATTTTTTTCTCTTCTAAAGATCGAGTACATAGTAATTGAAATCTCGGAATCCAAATGGATTTATAAAAAACTTTTCGTTATCTACGTCTGATTCAATATTTAGTAGAACCTCGGGGATATTTTCAATGTTAGCCGTATCCGCGAGTTTTTTATGATAATCTCTTTGTTCCGATCCCCAAAAGATGTGTGTATGATGTACTGGATATTCTTTGTTCCAATGATTTTCGGTGACTGTCCACATGTCATTCAACATATCAAGTTTGGACGGTAATTTCTTCGCTCCAGAAATAAACTTGACCGCAAAACGAGCCTATTTTTTATCAATAAATATTGCGGTTAAAATGCAACGTAGTAATTAATACCACACAAAAGTTAAAAAAAAAAACTAGAAAATTGTCGCCAAAATATTTACCTGAAGATCGAATGAGGTAAAAGTTATTCCAGCTCTGGCCAAACCAATGAAAGCCATCGTCGGATAGTTAATATTGAAAACGTGTTTATAAAGTGGTTGAACGAAATTATTATTAACTTGAATACCGGAGTCAACGCTCAAAAATGGATATGAAAAATTGTAACCTGTGTTTATAAATAAATGTTTATGAATCCAGTTCAATAGAAGCCAGCTTGGTTTTTACCTGTGGCATAAATCACTCTAGTGAAGTTTTTATGTGTGCCATTGATGAATTCAGCTCCATTTGTGGTGAAACGCTTTACATTGTATTCCATTGTAATCGGTTTTGGTAAATTTTCTCGGATAGCTTGTATACGATTTTCATTTCTCTTACTCGTAATTTTATTAGTGCTTAGTGTTATCTGACTTGTAACCGTTGACAGATGATTAACTATATCAATTCCACTTGCACCGCTGCCAATAACAAGCACTTTTTCGTCTATGAGAATGTTTGACAGTCGTTAATAAAAACATTGATTAAAAGCCATAAGTAAAAATTGCAATTTACCCAGAAATGAATCGACTGTGCGAAAATCATGGCTGTGAATGATTTTTTCATTGAATGTGTTCGCACCTTGAATTTGTGGCCAATAAGGCATCGAATAATGTCCATTACAAACAAAAACCGCATCGTAAACCATCGTTTCATACTTATCAGATCTTTAACAATAATTTCCCATTTGCCATTTTCGATCGGATGAACTCGAATTACCAAGTAATTGAATTTGATGTATTTTCTTAGGTCAAAACGATCCGCATATGATTGTAGGTACATCAAAACATCTTCTGAACGAGCATAAGAGGGTGTGTTATTTGGATAATGGTGATCTTTAAATTCCAAAATTTGGAGCGGCGTGTTGGTTCTGTATATTTTTTTAAAAATAAAATCCATTAAAACCATTTAAATTCACTTGATTCGGTTTAGAGCAAGACACTTCTACCTCAAATTTTTATACATGGCCGAATGGATATTAATTCCATATTTATCTTTGCCTGTTTTATTTGTGTAAAGCCAGATACCACCTAGCTCTTCACTTTGCTCATAAATGGTCACTTTGAAACCTTGTTCGATTGCATATTTTTCACTCACAAGTCCCGATGCACCAGCACCAATTACAACCACATTCAATACACTCGACGTTCCATTGTTTATTGGGCTTGCTTCTATGCTGTTGGTTAACAATCCCAAAATAATACTGAATAGTTGTATTAAAAATTTCGGCATTTTTCTTTGCATTTCGTGCACAATCTTTAAATTCACTTTTCTATTTGTTGATACCGATCGAAAAATAAAGATTGAATCTTAACTTTGAAATTTTACGGAAGAGTAAAAGACATTATAATCAGTGACTCAGTTCGAACAGCTGTTATGGCCAAACGATATTCGAAACTATTCAACAGCTATGAACGATCGGAGCTTTAAAAATCAATGAATTCAGCAAAATTGAAAACAAAATTACTCGTACCAAACTGGATTGTAGATACCCTGTAGATACCATGACACATCTATTCAGCCAAAGAGTATCTTCCTCTCACTCTTTGCCATCCTCTGTTCGCCATTCACCGAATGCCCTGCGTATGATTGTATGAATAATGGAAAACACTAAGGGTGAAGACCACCAATAAACATGGGTATTGTGTGCGCGAGCAAGAACACACATGATCCAAATCATTGAACGTTGATCAACTTTTCATTCTAGTTTCAATGGTGTTAAAAATATATTTATTTTAAAATGTTATTTATGAGACAGTTGAATAATATTTTTTTCCACATCAATTTCGCCATGGTCAGAATTCTACTCAAAACGAATTAATTCAATGTGTTGTTCATGAGCACATAACGGATATTTATAAAATTGAATTAAAATCCAGAGGCTATGATAGTTTTGTTATTGATTTTGTTAAATTTCTTCTAAAAATATCTATATTCTTACATTTCCGTAATGGTGTGGTGGTAATTCATTGTATAGCGATATTCCTCGACATTTGTGAGCGATCAAGTTAGAATAAATGATGGGTAAATACGGCGATTCAAATTATAAAAACTAAAATAATAAGTGTATCGGAGAAACATCTGTGGGACAACTTTGGAACATCCGTTGTTTCAAAGCTTGTCAACATTCGAAATGCTATGAGTACGGCATCTGCAGCCAACTTCATGTTTATTTTGGTGTCCATGCTTTAGAGCTGTCAAATAGGTATTTAAATGTAAAAAAAAACGTGGATTTGGTTGTGCAGCCGCGAACATCAACTTTTTTGGTAAGGTAAAAACAAGTAAATAAACGAAAAACGTCGGCGAATAGCTTTTAATGAATTTATTCGATTGTAGAGACCACAAAGCGCAGGGATCATGAAATCGTCCAAAAAAGAAGCTCGCCTGGAAAACAAGAAGCGGAAATTAGAGGCTCTGGTGAAAATCTCGAAGTTAAACGAGTCTGACAACGAACAGAAGCGTAAAAAAATGGAATTGACAGAGGAAACGAGTAAAGTGAACAAAGAAATAGATCTTGGTGAACCATTGGTGAAGCGATCGAAATCAAATGACTCTGCAACAAAAGCAGACGAATCAGAACGTGGTTCAGTGCTATCGGATGAGGACTACGCTCAATTGAAACGAGAGTTAAAACACAAAAAGCGTGAATTGAAAAATGTTCCAAAACTGAGGATGAAATTGTTCGGCGATAATGCACTACTGACAATACCATCGCCAAATCGGACGCCAATTCTATTCACCGATATTCAACACTTGATCATGTACGGACTGTTTGGCAGTTCATCGCCGTGCGTACCAACGAGATGGTGTCATTTGGAAAAGGTCAATAAAATATCGCATACCGTTGTTGTAGTGATCGATGGCTTGTCACTGTACCATTTCTCGTCGCATGAATCGCTTTTGAAATCCGCACAGCAAATCTTTGAGCATAAACTTGAGGTGGTGATGCCGGGCAAATCGTCCGATGAAATGGTGAATGAAATAATGATGGTGCCATTGACAAATATCTTTCGTGATGATCTCATCGAAAAATATGGTAGCTTAGAAGCCGCAATTGACTCAATAAAAAATCCCGTTCTGATGGTAAATTCTATATTTCCAGTGTCGGACAGCGAAAACAACGATGGCAAAAGTACCACAGCCACAGCAAAAAATGATACTGAAGTGTTTTCACGCACACAACTACTGTTGTCTGCATTGCAAATGATCGATGAAGGTTATCCGTTGCCATTGCGCGGTGAATTGGCCAATCGCTACAAAGAATTCGTGATGACAAAGGATAAGTATGAAGCGGTAACGGCCCAAAGTCCAATGTTTGGTGTCGATTGTGAAATGTGTCGAACGTCGGTCGGTGTAAATGAACTCACCCGAATATCTATTATCGATGAGAATCACGAAAGCATCTACGAGACGCTCGTATGTCCTCGAAATAAAATCGTTGACTATTTGACACCATTCTCCGGTATCACGCCCGAAATGATGAAAAATGTAACGAAAACATTGGCCGAAGTACAAGCCGACATCCGGAAGCTGTTACCCGCCGATGCGATTCTGGTCGGTCAATCGTTACACAGTGATTTGATGGCAATGCGCATGATGCACCCGTATGTGATTGACACGAGTGTCATATTCAATATCTCCGGTGATCGTCGGCGTAAATCAAAGCTACAAACGCTGGCACATGAATTTCTTGGCGAAGCCATTCAAAAGAACCCATTGGGCCATGATTCAATCGAAGATTGTTCAGCGAGTTTGAAATTAACCAAATTGAAATTGCAACGGGGTATTGATTTTGGCGACGCCATTCTCGCAAATAGTCGACGAGTGAACGAGAGAAATCGAAATGAGTCAACGTCTAGTGAAACAAGTAATTTGAGTAAACCGGCGGCGGTAGCAGCATCCACAGCAGCATCAACTTCAACAAACAAAATGGATCGTAGTACGGCTGTTATTACCGCCAACGATGAATTCACCGAAGCGTACGAACGAACAGTCAAAGACAAAATCGACGACAACCAAGCAGCAGACAAAAAAGTGCACATTTACAAAAATGCATCGAATAAAATAGCTGTGCAGAAAACATGTGAGGTGGCCTTAAATCATGCACTCACTTTAACACATCTGAACATCGAATCGAGTAAGTTGGTCAACGAAAAAGTCGAAAAAACCATGAAGAAAGTCGATAAATGGATTGAAAACCTATGGAATAGTGCGGCGCCAAATGCTCTTTTCGTCGTTGTTTTTTCGGGACAATATTCACCAGATAGTTCGTCAACTGGAGCTGCAATGCTTCAAATCAAATCGAAGGCATAGTTTTTTTTTTTTTCAATTTTATACTCTTTAAAATTAGAATTTGATAATTTTTTCGCAATGAATAAATAAAATAAAATTAGAAAGAAATTTTCTTCCCATTTAATTGTTTTGAAGTTTTTTTTATTCAACATTTCAGGCAGTTTAAATCTAGTTTTGAGCTAATCTCCTGAGTTACATTTAGGTTCTTTTACCTATGGGCGCACGTAAGACAACTATCTGTTTGTGCGTATGCCTTGGTACATGCAACTGAAATAACCGACCAATTGAAATTTTTGTATCTTGTATTTATGAACACACATTATTGAGTCATTATTCGCACAAAGATATGACAGAGGAACGAGAGAAACAAACACAATTTATTCATGTAATTTTTTTTTAATGAAGTAACGAGATAAATGTACGCTATTGTTGCAGTTGGCTTCTGGAAATAAGGTTAAGGGTAATTCGGAAGTGTTGAACGTTGGCTCGAATGGTTTAAACTCTATTCAATTTACCAGAAATGATATTGAACCAATTTGTGTATGCGAGGCGAGACTGAAGAAAATGTATGTAATTTAGATTGAAAGCCGGTTTCAAGCGAAACGGATGGTTCGAAAAGTGTTCGGATAACATTTAGCTACATTAAGTGAACAAAACGTGGAGATAAGACGTAATCGAAATCGATAGTTGTTGAAATATAGACTTTGTCTCTGAATTTTCAGGCCGATGCACGTACTATCACCGTGCAAATAGGTTCCGAAATTTATCAATGTTTGCATAGAGAGCGATGATTTGAATTTATGCCAAAAAAAAGAATGGATTCACAAAAATCATTGCAACAAAGCAAGCGACTTAGTTTTCTGTGTATTCAGTGGGTATAATAAAAAAGGAGGAGCATTATATCTTGCTCACACATCAAAGAGAAATTTTTCGAAAATAAGAGACGCGATTCGATTAAATTTCAGTATTTTTGTGCATTACATGAATGTATACTAATGAAGACCATACTAATTGTAGAGTATTGTACAAAATTGTGCGCTTCAGACGACCACCAAAAGATGAGGTTTTTGTACATCGAATTTTTGGATCAAGTATTGGGCATTGCTACCGTTGTGTGCATGCCTCCACATATATTGCCTAGAAGAGAATCATTGTGAAGGAAAAAAAAATAATCGGCGACATGTGAAATAGCGCGCATGCTTCGCATCATATCATATGGATGCAATACATCTAAGATAGATTGTAAATAGAGAGCATGAGAGTGAGTGAGCTAGGCTCAAAATGGATGGAAAAATAGCAACAAGAACATTGAAAAGTATGTAAACAGTGTTGAGAGCAACAGCACGGATCTGGCTGTTGTTTGTGATATATGTGTGTGCGTAGAAAAGAGACAGAAAGGAAACGAATGTGTGCGATTTGTGTACGTTTCTTCTTGTGATATGCTATGAGCCAGCTGAACCACAATAATATAACAGTACAATAACAGGCAACGGTCGTGTAGCATTTTCAACAGGAACTGAAAAACGGGAGAATCGACGAACACACCAAACGTGAGTGAAAATAGTATTTTTAGTGGTGGTGGTCGTGTTCGGTTGTGCTGAACACTTTCTGGTTCTACTCTTGCCTGTTGTTCGTGTACAATTTTTCGATTTGTGGTGTTTTTCGTTCTTGTTTTGCAGCGAAAAATTCATAATTTTCCGAAAATTTCGAATAATTGCAAAGTAAGTTTTTTATTTGGAATATTCGACCAGCCGACCTATGTAAGTCTTTGAATTACCGCAGAAGATTGTGCGAGAGAAATTTTGTAGAGTTTCCATCGGTTTACCGAAATGAAAATAAGGTCAAACAGACAAACAGTGCAAAGTGTGTTGTGCGTGAACAAGTGAAGCATGGAACTCAATCCGAATGATGGATTCAAATTATCGATTTATTTTGTCGCTGCGTGTGTCCTGGTTTTCATTCCCCTATATTTTTCGCTTTCTGTATCCAATTTCTGGAGCTGACACTGTTAACTCTGTTGAGCCGCGCGTTATCCACATTTCTTTTCTCTGCTTTATTGTTGATAGTAAAAACAGAATTCACCCCCCCCATTGCTACCGTACAGTATCGCAATGACGTGCCATAAAGTAGTTATGGTCAATACTTTGAATGTTGGAAAATGACCACTACGCATTGGATTCGATTGAGGTGTTCATGTTTTTCAATATTTTTGTTTTGTGTTTTTTCGTTGTTCTGGGAATGCATAAGAATTTTACTGTTGAACTACTACTCCCCTTGCTCATAACGGGTCGATAATATTCATTATCGTTGAAAACATGTTTTTTTTCCTTCTGCCTATGTAATTATGTGTCAGAAAACCGTGAGTGATATTGTTGTCGTGATGATGATGAAGCCAAGCACTACACGAGTCATGAAATACATGAAAAACACTCAGACTTATTACTCATTTTCATGCTTGGATAAAAATAAATGATCATGTTTTTTTTCTATCTCTTTCTTTTCTCTCTTCGGCGCAGATATCGATTTCGAAATTTTTGGCACAAAATGCTGTTTTTCCGTAAACATCATTCGGGTAAAAAAAAAAAAGTTGTGTCTGAAAGCATTCAGAAAACAGTTCGAATTACAGATGATTCATTTGAAATAACAAAATTTGTTCAATGAAATATTCATAATAAAAGGCCACACAATCAAATCTTATGCATGTTTGATATCATGAGAATGAATTCGATAAAATCGATAATGATTATCGTGGCAGATTTTGTTATCGAAAATTTACTTATTGCATAGATAACGACCGTGCTAATTGTGAATACAAGTACCCAAAATGCATATCGGGGCCACTATTCCAACTTCTTTCATTTTATGAAATGTCCGAACGGAATATATCGGTTTCATACACTTCAACGATACGCTTGAATACTTTATATCATAATTATATGTTAAATTTCGGTGGATCAGCTGAATTTTGGTTCAAAAATCCTGACCTATATTCAATTCTCATTCACAACAAGTGATCTAGTCATAATTCGTTCTGTTCATGTCATGTATTTTTGTCTGTCAATCATTACATATGTTCATGGAGTTTATACGTTCACCTTATGAAAGAGAGGCATTCGTTTGTTAGCTCGCTCGCTTGCCCAACGAACAAAAAGCTATGCGGCGAACCGAGTAAAGCGCACATGTTGCCAATGAATTTCCGAATTGATCGTTTGTTGGATCAACATTTGGCATTCAATGTACACTTTGTACTTTGTAAATATTTATCTTTCTCTTTTTACTCCTTGCAATAGTTCAGCAACGGTGGCGCGGTTGCTATTCACCAATGTATATGCATCAAACAATAGCCGGAGAATTATTTATTTTTCTGTTGTACAAAACAAAATGCGGTAGTCAAATGAGCGGGAACTAGAGCAAATACGGATAAATTTAGCATCAAATAAATATTGACAGAGTGAGTGTTCGAACGGTACGAATAACGTTGGAAAGAGAGTCGGATATGAAGAAGAAAAAAAACGCACAGTAAAAAAGCCGATTTAAACTAATCGGGCAAAAACTGAAATTTAAATTGAAAATATGGAACAAGATTAAATGGCAAATATTAACTCAAATAAATTATGGGGAATGAGGGAAAAAAGAGTCGCCACAATCCAGGCGGATGAACGGAGTTCTTTTGAATGTTTGGCATAATTTCTATTCGCATCCAGTAACCTATATAATTCTCTCTCATGGATTAATTTCCACTGATATTATTATGCAATATTACATGCATTCGACACGGATTCCGCGTGCTTTTCTCTCTCTCACTCTCTCACTCTCACTCTCTCTCTCTCACTCATTCTCTCTCGGAATTCGGTGTTCGTGGCGATGACAATCTGAAGCGGCTGCACTGCCAATATAAATAGACATTTGTCTTGTGCAATATATGTCCAAAGTGTCTATTAGCGTTGTCACCAAATTAGTCATTTATGGAAATGCAAACGAACGCATTCCCAACCGAAATATATCACTATGTGTAAATATAGAATGTATGGTTCGAAATATAAAACTCATCATAATTTTATGGTCTCGATCGAATTGAGTATTTCGCCAAGATTTGACATGGTACGTTTTCTCTGGGATTCTATGACAAAAAAAAATCGAGTAAAAAACTTGAATCTTCTCAATTTTGACAAATTCTCCTCTCATTCGTTTTTCAATGCAAAGACCAAGCTCTCTCTCTTTTCCTTTGCACTGCCAAAGTTGTTCGAAACAGTCATAATATTTCGTCATTATGCGTTTCATGTATAATTTAAACTTGACATTCACTTTGCGCTCACATACAGTTCACTTTAATTGTTCAATAAACAGACATGTTCTCGTCTCGTTTAACAGATGAAAAAAAAAATTACATAAACCCAATCCATACGCATATGCGGCGAACAAACAAAACTGTGTGTACAATGTGCACGATATTGGATATCAATGCTTCTTTAAGAATTAAAAAAAAATGAGCAACACAAAAGAATAGTTCAATAACATTTCCCCCAACAAATGCTGCGAACTGATCTTGAAATCAAACAAACATCAGAAACCAATTGTCTATCAATTAAACACAGAATAGAAGAAAAAAAAAACCTTTCACAGTGTCGTTGTGAATTTTTTCTTTGCCTAAGCTGAGTGCAAATGCTCCCCTATGAAATGTTTCGATAAAAGAGCACGGGGCACAAGGGTGTATCACTTTTGTTTGCTCCATTGCAAACGATTAAGATTCTAGTACCTCTTGCGCGAGAATTTATTACGAAAACTTTCAGTATAATTTATTACGAAGACTTTCAGTATTTATAAATATTTCTTTCGTAAAACTAACCTCACTTCACAACCCCAATATGGGAGACAAATGTTGGTCTTTTCATCAGTTTGTGATCAGCTCTTAAACTAGCAACATCTTCTTCAGCTCTCCGAAAGTTTTGTTTAATTAGTCAAAAAGTGGACTTTTATTAAAAGCAAAGTCTTTGAAGAATTTGTGAGTTTATAAAACTTATTGTGTCTACAGAGATAATAATATTTCGAAATTTCTGACTTATAAGTCAAGTGACTTGTTAGTGAACATTTTCCATTCCCTTTTGTGCGGATATTCTTCGATTTTGTGTTGCAACACAGACGCTGGTATCGTTTCATTAAAAGTTTCGAGGACTTATAAGTCATTCGGCACACAGGCTACTTGACTTATAAGACTTCTTTCAAAGCTAAAACACATTGGCGACCATTTTGGCTTCGTAAAACTAACCTCACTTTTCGATTTGCCCAAAAATACAGCACGGATTGTCAGCTGTTGATCAGTCTGTGCTTAACTCTTCAACCAGTAATATCTTCTTGTTCACAAGTCTAACGGAATAAGTCAATAAATTGGACATACATTTTGACTAATAAAAGAGAATGAAAAAAAGTGATTTGGTGAACCAAATAAGTGATTGAATTTATAGGTCCCAACTCAAGATCTTTAATCTATAGGTCCCAATTGAGGACCTTTAATCTATGAGTCGCAGTAGAACACCACTTAGAAAGCAAGATTAGTCAATTACAAAGCGCACATTTTGTGACTAAAAATTTGGGCCCATATTAAGCGACAAAAAAGGTACTCTTCCAAAAAATGTATGATCAATTAACTTTTTTGTAAGGAAAAAATTATTGATTTTTTCGAGAAAAAATTTAAAACTCAAAGTCCACACATTCAATGTGTTTATTTTCAACTGTAAACAAAGAATTCCACTGTATAAACAGTGACACGCGTACAGCTCATTCCAGTAATAGTTGCGAACGCTGCATAAAAAATTGTTTACAAGTGTTTCGACGAATTGTGTTCCAATATGTCGACTTGTCTCCTATATGTAACGTACACTACATAATACAGGCTATTTGCCTGTTTGATGGTGTCAAGTCGAAAAATATTTTTCTGTTGTTTACTTCATTGTCTCCGTTTTGCTGCAGTTCGCACGATTCATGTTTGTACAGGAATCGCTTTGTTACGGCTGACATGTCTGAGTCATGATAAAGAAACAATTATAATTCGGATTGGGCGCATATTTTTGAACAATCGGATCTGTTGCTGATTGTGAACATGATCCAAAATTATCTTATTTATTTCGGAAATCTTCAAATGCAATTTTTTCAAAAATAAAATTGAATGACATGGCTTATTCATGCACATCACTTCCTTCATATGTCATTATGGATGATAATAATTTATGCTTTTTTAAACGAATTTCAAGAAATTGATATTTACCTGGAAAATGTTGCTTTCACTCATTTCAGCAATTTTAAAAACCATCGATTAGACGAGTGTAACACCGAAACAAAATGGCTTTGGGAATAACCGTGGACGATTCATCTCAAAATCAATCTCAACCCATAACACCCAGTGCACCGCCGTTAGAATCAATGGCCCCGGTGGATGTGAATCAAGTACGATTTGTTGTTGTAGTCGACGCAGCGACACACAGCCAACCGATTTCCGCTCAAACCGAAGCGCTCAATGCCAGCGAAAGTTTGCGTCGCATTATCAACGAAAAAATCAACTGTGACTCTAAAGGCAATCACATCATTCGCGATGTTGACGAATCCGAATTTCGACAGCTCATCGAATTCCTTGAAAAGAAGAAATTGCAATTCCGAGACCAAAATCATCGATTGCAAATGTTTAACGTGGCCAAGCAATACAATTGTGCTGACATGCAAATTTATTGTTTGCGCGAAGTTGATGCCAATTTGGATGTATCGAATGTGATTACTGTTTATCGCACACTTTGGTTCTACGGTTCGTTGACAGCGCACAAGGATCCAATCGATCGAAAGAAGACCAATATGAAAAAGGCCAACTACACGCCCGAAGAATTTCTCACGTATTTGGTGTTTAATGTGTTGCAGTTTATCAATATGAACGCGGAAAATGTGCTGCTGTCGGAGGAGATCGATGAGTTGCGATTCAAAGAATTTGAAAATATTGTGAAACAGGATGATCTTCTGTTACGCTCCGAAATGGTGTTGATCAATGCACTGACGCGTTGGAGCCGAGCGGAATGCCGACGAAAGAACATCGAACTCTCATTCGAAAATGAGCGCACCGTATTGGGTGAACTATGCTATGCACCAAGGTTCGTTCAATCGAATTTAGATATTCAATTTTTTTTTTCTATTTTCACATAATCACAACTACTTTCCGATATCTTTTCATCTCTTTTCTACTGGATGTTTATCGATTATTTTATTTCTTTCGTAATTGTAACTAATTCAAATTGGTTTCTCCATTTCCAAATAGATATTTAACATTGAAACCCAGCGAATTTGAATTGGCCTGCAAAAATATTCGATTTTTGGATCCGGCCGAGGTGACGCTGATTCGTGAAGCGTTCGATGGCAAAAAATCCAATTTGACTGCCGAACAAACAAATATGCTGAACAATTTCCGAAAGCCACGACCAAAATACACACGCATGCCAATCTATTTAAGTCCACGCAGTCATCCGAAAAAGTATTCACGACGAATGCGACGAAACGATCGCACTGAAAGTGATGGTTCATCGTGTTTTCTCGATTGCCTGGCCGCTTTCATTTGTTTATGTGATTAAGATTACACAACTGTAGAATACTTCGATTTAAGTTGGACATTTGTTTGTATCTTTTTTTATTATTATTTCGATTTCGGAACGCCGAATTTCATACGCGGATTAAACGAATCGTCATACGGTACATGGCAGTGTATACCAATTGATACGAATAGACTAGTGATTGCTTAGAGAAACGGAAAACTCGGTTTTGTTTAGAGTGAATGTGTGTTACCATTTTGGCGCTAAATTTATTCTTTTTTTTACCGTTTGAATCAATTCGTCGGTTGCTGATTGCAATGCACAGCTTCTTAGTTACAAACAATTAAACTGGCGAACTGCTACTCTACATCTGTCGTTAAATGTTTATTTTCTTTTCCTTTCCAACATTTTCCATGTAGACTCATTGAAACGGGCATGCGAATGTATTTATTTGATTTGCTTGGTGCGAATCTAACGAAACATACAAACATATTTATATATTTCTATAAAATAGTAAAATTTGATGATTTTTTTTTATTTTTATTAATGTCTTTATCTTCCATAAATCATTTTAAATCTTACAAAATATATTTATGTCTTATATTCAATGTTCGAAACGCATCGAAGCGCGTGAATATTGACAGCTTTGAAAACAGAAAATCGTATTTACTATTTTTAGCCAAAATTTGGACAAATGAAAACGGAATAGAAGAAAAAAAATGAAGAAAGCTCATATAGTTGAAATAAATGGAGGGATGTTTATTATATAAATGCAAATGATTCTATAGATTGTTAACGAGAATGAATTTTAGCAAATATTTTATTGATACGATTGAATGAATGAAAGTATATATGAATGTCCGAGAATGAAAACGCAACTTCTATTCACAACATATATAAGTGAAACATATATAAGTAAAGAAATCTTTTTTGTTGTTACACTTTGAAAAAATTCGATTTTGTTGTTTCATTTCAACAAATTTTTTTATTTTTGTTTCACTTATATATGTTGTGAATAGAAGTTGCGTTTTCATTCTCGGACATTCATATGAAACGAAAAGAGTTTATTTAAAGAAAGATGATAAGAAAATTTGTGCAAAAATTATTTTACTGTTTAAATTTGGGATGAAACGAAAAAAAGTCCTAAAAAACCTAAAAATCGTCCTATAAATTACGATAATCATCCTGAATATCACAAACATCGTCCTAAAGAAACACAAAAATCATTACAATCCAAAGTGTTGATAACTAAAATGAAATCATTTAACTTAACGGAAATGTTTCTTATTTTGATGCTGTAGCATTGAAGAAGGAAATGATTAAAGCGTTACTCAACATAGGACTGTGGAATAGACGAAATGAACGGAAATTACATCTAGCCGAATGTTTCTTTTTTGACGAAATATGATGAATATGAGACGCACGTAAGCAAGTATCACACGATAATATCGCCATATCTGTCTCATTCGATATAGAAAATATGCGTTTTGGACACATTGAACAATTTTGTGAGTAACTGTATGTTTAATTATATATTTCAATGGCAATGAGACAACTCAGTAAAATATACTGTAACAAACACAATCTTTTTTTATGATGTTTTTTGTATTAGTTTTCGGACGAAATTAGGGTCTTTTAGGTCGATTTTTGTATTTTGTAAGGACGATTTTTGTGATATTTAAGATGATTTTCGTAATTTATACGACGATTTTTAGGTTTTTTAGGACGTTTTTGATGGATAATTCATTTATTCGAGCAATTTTGAGTCGAGACAAAAAAAAAATTATATGACAAAAGCAACACAAATATTTAGAGAAAAAAAAAGAACATATAAACAAACAAAACATAGAAATTATTTTGGACGAAACGTTCTTAAGAATTTAGCACACAGGTGCTACCACCGTGAATATACAAGATCTGTAAACATTGTATAGGCCAATTCTTTCACTTTTAAACGAAAAAACAGAATGCTTTAACTAACCATTTGCCATCTTTCTAGATACAGATCGTTTCCTGTGAATCTCATTTCAACTTCGATATTCCACAATCGATTTGAATTGCCATTTCAGAAAGAGATTTTAACATTATATTTATATAGATACCGAAATAAACACAAACTTTTTGCTACGTTTATATAGAGAAGATATAACAACACACCAGATATCAAAGATATGTTTAAACAAATACGACTAAGGAGCAAATAATTCTATGAATTTTTGTTGCAAATTATATTGACACAAGCTATTTACCTTCACACAGAGAGCAAATGAATTTAACGAACAAAAAAATAAGAATATTAAAAACAGTTATTATGAGTAGATCAATTTAATTAAATGAAACAAAAATTTATAAAAAAATCTTTGTAACGTATGTTAAATGGATGTGATTCAATTTATTCAATAAAGCGATATTTATGTTTGAAGAGAATTCTTCACTGAAAAAAATTTCTCGATTCTTTCTTGTCTTTTCTTGGGAATTTTTCCAACGACTTAAATTAAATATTCGATCATTTTTATTGATCGGACTGACTTCATTTCCAGCATAAACTTTATCTGTTTATTCGAGACAATGCCTCAATGAGGCGTTTCCATATTTAATATAAAATTCGGTGTTTACAGGTTTTTGAGCATGATGAAAACATTAATCAAAATCACAAAGATTGCTGCAAATCCACTTGATGTATGAACTGTGGCATTTTCCACATGTAGTGGCAACTCTAATACAGTGTCTTCGATTGTTTTTCGATTCAATATGAAAATCTCTATCGCCTCATGCATTTTTCCATCAATAAGTTCCAATTGATCTTCTGTTAATTGACTGTTTCTCGTTAATTTTGTTAAAATTGGCTCGAACTAGAAAAAGAAGAGAAAATATTTAATCGTAATATGATTGATAGTTACAGTACGGAATATTTAATTCCATTGAATAATTCGCAATAAAACTTACTCGATTTTTGGCGTCATTTGTATTGATGTTGGCGGCCACAATAGCGAGTGTTTTGCTTAAATCAAGATGTTTTCGTGTTGCATTAGCCTCATTATTTAGTAGATCAATGGCTTGTAATAGACCGTATTGGCTTCGTGTTGCAATTCCAATAAACAACGACACCCGTTCGCGCTGAATCAAGTTATTTTTCGAATCAATCGTCCTATACAAATATTCCCTTAAGAGTGTTTCGTTGGCAATGTTTCCGAAGCTGTTCAGTATTTCTTGTCGCTCTTCGCTATTTTTTGTTGAACTCATTCGACTCCAAATCAATTCAGTCAAATTAAAATTGGCCGATCGAATGCCGAATTCATAAATTGAAGCGCGTGTATTCAGTGATGCGAAGGTGAAGTTTTCACTTACAAATGATTGCTCGAGCATTTGTTCCGCTTCTTTCAAACAAGATTCGATACCAAATTCACAAGCCAGTCTGATTGCCATTTCACGGGTACGGCTGTTCAATAACGGTTCATCGGCGATTTTATCGCCTTTATTAGATTCATAGAACGGCTTAACAATATTAGCAACGAATTCAATGTATTTTTTATACGCGACGCTTCCTTCGACCAAAATACGTCTCATCTTGAATAACGATTTCATTGCCGCCGCCCATGGTGCATATTCCGTTTCGCGTCTCAAATATCGAACCAAATGGAAGTAAACGTAGCTCGGCAATCGACCGCTTAGAACAAATTCATTCAAGTCATCTAAAATTTGGGCTCGACTCAGTGGATGAATCTTTTCAACATCTCCCGAATTCAATTCATGTGAAATCATTTTGTAATTTCTTTGATCGTATAAAACACGATAGAACCCAGTTTGCTGTTTGTTGAACAATACCCAATCGTTTTTCGTCCACTTTTTATTGCCGGCAGGTTCAATGACCGCCGATCGGACACCTTGTGGCAACCAATCATCTGGGAATGTGTTTTTCACGGCAACGTTATTTGCTGTATCAAAGTTATAGGGAATCCACCAAGTGCTCGAGCTTGGCTCTGGATATGGGTATTTGTTAAAATATCTTTCTTGCGAAATTTTTATATTGTTCTCCTCGTAATCTCGATTTACTATGAGCAATGGGTAACCAGTTTGATTCGACCATGAACTAAAGATATCCTTCACATTCAAACTTTGCTCCAAGTTATCATCTTCTTTAACAGCACGCTCCAAACCGGCGAAGAGATCAATATCTTTGGCTGCATTGAAGGATCTATAATTTGATATTTTATGGATGAGTCGAATGTTGGTGTAAAAAATAAAATAAACGCTAAATTTTCACCTTTCATTCAAGTAATAATTGAGACCTTTCTTAAAACTGCTCTCATTGAACGCGTGCATGAACATTCGCAGCACGGAACCAGCTAGAAGGAAGATATCACGTTCAGAATTAGAATCAAAATAATATAATGAATCAAAAGAAGTATTCAATTGTTTGGGTTCTTTTACATTTAGCATAGGCGATATTATCAAATAGTCCTCCGATTCCAGATGGATTTTCTACATAATATGTCATGGGCCGTGTTCTATTTGTGGCATCACTTCTAAGAGCAACATGTAATTTCTGTACAACAAAATCGTTGAAAATACTCCAATCTGGGTGCACCTACAGTTAACGATGGTAATAAATTTAGTTGAGTTATTAGTTTGTTTTTTTTTTTTTCATTTAAAACTTACTATAAATGTTTGTTTTTGGAATTTCCAAGCTTAACTCACCAAGTCAGTGCCAATAAATTGAAAGAGGGTTGCAAAGCCTTCATTAAGCCACAAGTAACTCCACCACTTTGGAGAAACGAGATTTCCAAACCATTGATGCCCGAATTCTGTAATCATATGATTTCAGTTGGATGTATTCATTTGCTATCTTAGAAGCCGACTTAGATACTTACCATGGGCAATTGTCGTAACTACGCTAATCTTTCTCTCGTTCGAATGAATTGTTTCATTATACAATAAAGCTGTTTCTCTGTATGTCACCAAGCCCCAGTTTTCCATAGCTGTGAATATGGGTTTGCATCATTTTTCTCAATACAACGAATAACACTTATGTAGTAAATAACTTACCGCCGGCTGCAAATTGCGGAATTGCGGCTTGATCCATCTTAGGTAATGTAAAATTAACTTGCAAATAATCGCTAATTGCATCTAAAATTTTCTCGCCCTCATAAACACCAAATGTGGCACTATCCATTTCCTGTGGCTTGGCAAACACACGATGTCTAAATCCAGCCTTGCTCCAGCTTTCCTTGTACGGAAAATCCGATATAATGAATGCTATCAGATAGGTTGAGGTTAGTGGTATTTTTTTGAATTGTGTCAATGTACTTCCACTAAACGTCCTATATCAAAAGAAGACAATTGTCTCAATAATTTTCTTCTATTTAGAAATTTAAAAACTAAGATACAGTACTCCCTACGGTCGATTTCGGGCATATTTGAAATTGCAGTATATTTGGAACTGTGTTGAATGCGAATGTCAAAAGTGGCTTTCAGTGCTGGTTCATCGTAGCAAGGAAAGGCGTGTCGTGCATCGGTCGATTCGAATTGAGTGACTGCAAGCCATCTGTTGAAGAAAAATATTATTTATAGCCTTACTGTGATATCTTCTCATTAAAAAAAAAAAATAATAAAAAAAAAAATCAATTTTAACTAATATGAACATGTTCATACACTTTTTTCCCGTCCGAGTTTGTGTATGATGATCGATAAAAGCCAGCTGTATCTTCCCTAAGCGTTCCTTTATAGCTTATCGTGAGAATTACTTTTGAGGCTGGCCATATCGTTTTCTCCGTCGTGGTAATTGTGAGAAACTCTGTGACAGGATCATATTGTGGTGGTAAAATTTGAATGCGATCACCGTCCTCACTGTCTAACTGAACCGCAGAGATTTTCAACTGACGTTGATGCAACGTAATCGTATTTGTCTTCTCGAGCGCTCTAATGGTTATCTTAACCATACCAGTAAATTCGAATTTGCCATCAGCGATATCCGTTAAAATTAAAATATCGTATGCTTCTGGTTTGGTATTGTTTGGCAGTCGATAGCTCACGTTATCCGGTTTAAATGTAAATTCACCCACATCTGCGTATTCTAACGGCGGATCGGCGGAAATATACAGGAAATTCCACAGAAATAAAAATACAGTGGCAAATATCAATCGTGCCATCCTATCCTCATAGCAAAATAACTGAACAATGTTTCTGCACCATATAAAACAGCTCGTTTTATATCGAATTTTTGAAATCGATATTCGGACCACTCGAAAGATAACACATGATCACATTTTCATGCTAAGCTAAAACTTTGTCCAAATTCCTCGTATAAGTTGCGTATCACTTAGCATTTTTTTGTTGTGCGTGATTTTGAGAAAATATGTCACAAGTCAGAAGAACTGCGCAAAAATCCTAAAGTTGGCCGTCTATCATTGTGTTCAATTGCCCTCATAAATTTTGCACAGCACATTTATTGTACTCATCATATGGCCGTATTAGTTTAAATAGAACACTTAAGTTGATCCAATTTTCAAAATACTACAACAACAACATTCAATTTAATCTACCCGAAGATCTTTTCCTTATCTATTCGAACCATTTTGAAATCCTTATAAATCTGTATTTTCATCGATGTATAGAGAAGTTTCATTGCATGTAAGCGAATTCTAATTCAATCAGTGAGTACAATGATTCATTTAAATGCGTATTTATTTTCATTTATAGAAACTTTATTAAAATCTGTTGAACTAGCCCATTTTATATTCCAATTGTTGTGACCTCTTTATGGACTTTGTGATTAATTGCCATCCTTCAATTGCTTTATATATTCGATGAATGCTTCTGATTTATCTGTCTACACGATCTGTCAAAACCGATAAGCATGCTAGCGCAAACTACAACAAGTCATTGTTCAATGATTTCAAATTTTACCTTGTTCAAAACTCTGATTAATCGAAATCAAGATGATACAAAAAAATTTATAGCTCGTTAAAAGAAATCGGACTGAAATAAGAAAGCATGTGTGTGTGTGTGTGTGTGGTCGAAGTGTATCTTCATTATATTTGTTGATTCATAATTATTATTTTTTTCTTTCAGTTTTGGATTTCCCGTGTAATGAACATTCTTAGAACGAGTTAATTGCTGTGTACGTGTGGCTAGTGTATCGTATAAATCACATGAAAAAGAATTTCATTCAACTCGTTTTTTCATCAAATTTAATTAGACAAGTAAAAGAATTGGGGAAAAAACTGCGTTTTTTGATTCATTGGTGTGTTGATGATATTCATTTTAGACGCTGCATGATTGCAGCATTTGCAAGACCGGCTTTTTCGATAGTCTGCTCCGAATCCGTGAGCTCCTTGCTCGGGAACGTGGTCAACAAAGCAAATGTCTGTGCCGCATACTGTGGCCGTGCGCTGTAAAAATTACAATTGATTTAAATAAAATGGACAAGGATGCTGAATATTGCGGAATATATGTGTTCATCAACGCGAGAAAAAAATGCGATAAAAGACAAAAATAGAATTTAACTCACTTCACAACATATGCTCGCAGATCGTTGATTGTGTGTGTTAGGTTGAAACGACCAGATAGACGGCTTCCGTCGGCTAAGCGTATTTGTATCGAAGTGGTCGGTTGCGATGCATCCACATTCAAATTTTCATTTGCCCTGAAAATATTAATGACATTTAGTTTTGTTACTGTACTTCACATAATCAGAGATTAAGATATGCTAGTTATATACTATGTCACTTACAGCTTTTCGTTTTCCTCAGTTTTACCGGCACTTTGCGGTGCTGAAGCAATCGATGTTGATGAACTGTCATTTATATTTGGCGTTGGGCTATTCGAAAGAGAAACATAATTAGGATATTCCATATTCATCGGTATTAAGTTTTTCTATGTTTACCTGCCAAGAGTGTGACCTTTTCCAGAGAATGGTTTGATTTTGGAAATTTTGTAATCCTCGTGTCGATGATCTTCCATGTTCACTGGAACCATATTGCCTTGCTGACGCAATTCGGGCGGCAGCTCACTGATTTAACAATAACAACAATAGAAACGCCAATTTAGTCATTGCATTGTTATTTTAACATTTGTTCTTTTCGAAAAGTAGCAATCTCATCGATAACTCACCCTTTTGTGATATATTCTAAGAATTCTCTATTTTTCTGATCGTCGTACATTCGAAGTTCGCTGTCGTTGATTGTAAATCCTTGGCGCCAAAGACGCAAAATAATTGGATCCATGTTTTCGGTAGAACGTGACGACGTATCTGCTAACAAAACGTGATCGTCATTTGTTTGACCCAAGCGATAACCAGTACCGGAGAAGCTACAATCATTTTTTTTTTTTTTCAGTTTATCAATTGAATTCATTTTTTACCATAGAAAAAAAAAACGTTTGTTGAATACTTACTTGCGACTACCACTGGGACGGCTCGGATGTGGATTTTCGACAACTTCGGCACCACTTTCTTTGGCCGATTTGAAAATGTTGGATACAAAATCTTTGCTGTTTTTGTTACGTCCGGGTCCCAAAACTTGTTGACCAGATGAATCCGATCCACCAGCATAGAATGCCTGTGCGAATGACATCGAAAAATGGTCGAAATGTCATTTGAATATTGAATTAGTTAAAGAAAGTGGCATTTAGTGTACGAACCTGACGGTTACCGTCATCTTCTTCCTCATCATCCGATGCCATGTTGTTTAGCGTAACAATACGTGCACCACTAGCATTGTACTTATTTTTGCTCTTATTCTTGGCATCGCTTTTGCTTTTGTCACCGCTTGAGCCGAACAATGCTGTTGGAGCCTGCGATGGCTGTGACGATGATGACGATTCAACATCGTCATCGTCAACATCAGGATCTTGATCACCTTCATAATAACTGGACATTGCCAACTAAAAGTGAACCGAAAAAAATGAAACAAAATCGACTGGAATTAGTATTTGGGGGATAAAGCCTGCATTGACAATGCATCGTTGCACAAGTCATTTCGATCGATTTGTTTTAAATGACAGCCAAAATATTCGCACTGACTTGCATTTTATTGGGCAAGCCGACACATATTCACACATTTATTGTTACCTGCAAGTTCCAATTGGCTGATTCCAAATAAAATTTTGCACGATCTTCGGCCACGCCAGTCACAGCCGTGAATTCCGATAAAATTTCGTCTCGATTACCGTCCGACATACTCAAATGTGATTTACAAACGGAACGGAATTAAAGGCCAAAATATAAAATTCGTGTCACTTGTTTGCCGTACAAAAAATGAACGCTTGTTTTCTTATTCGCTGTGTATAGTGGATTTTGCCGTACTGCCGTGCAGCGACACCTATCGATGACAGATCGACGGGTCTATTCATCGGTGAACCAACCACACTGAAACGTTCAACTGATGTAGTGGTTCCACCGCTGAAAATCGCTTCGCTGACAAAAATTGAACGTTTCACGCGCTTAATTGAAATTTGAATACACGCATTGGAAAAAGGAGAGTCTTCGTAGAAGACATTATACAGTGATGCATATTTTCGTGGAAGAAAAAAATGTCTCATGAACAAAGGGCTACAGATGAATAAAAGCAATGCAAAAGAAAAGAAAACATGAAATATCGTTGATAACACATATTTTGCAATTGAATGTTCAAATTTTATTGAATCGAAATCATGATCGAATTTGATAATTTACAATGTTTTTTTTTTGTTGAGAGATATGTATGTAGAAGCCTCAATTTTTTTTATTTATATTTTTGCATTGAATAATCTCATAGTAATTTGTTTGTGTTAACGTACGTTTCTTTGCAATTAGGTGGATAAAATGGTTATGTTTATTCTGAAGTCCTTTTCTGAGAGATGAATATATTCTCATCGAATTATATTATACGCCATCGTCAATGGATGACATTAGTCTGTTGGTTCGACAGTTACCACAATTGTAGTGATAAATCTCATTGCAACAAAGAAATAATTTCATTGGTTTTATTTCATTTTGAGATTGTGTATGTGTATGTTTTGGAGTTGTTTAATTAGGTAGTTTTTTTCCCATTTCCCTACAAAAAGCCATATTCATACATTTACACGAATAACGTTGGTATCATTTTTGTTTATAAGTTAGATACAAATTTTGTTGTTTTTTTTTTGTTTCATGCAAATATTATTAACACATGTGTTTATAAAACGTAATAAAAAAGTTGTTTTTTTTTGTTTCTTTAGCACAATTACAATGATGTGGAAAAACTTCCCGATTGATTTATCCAATAATTTTTTATGATTTTAATTGAAATTTATTTATTTATTTTTTTTCATTTCATCCTGTGTATTTTCCAATTGAAATATAAAAAAATTAGGCATGTTTCATACAAAATAGACAGAATGGCATATGAAAGGGTGGGCAAAATTGAAAAAATAGCGATTTTTGTTAAATTGTAAATTCAATAGATTTGGTTTTTGTAAGAATTTGAATATATTTAATAAAGTTGATTTTTCTTTGTTAAAGTTACAATCAGAACTGAATTGTAATTTAATTGAATTGAATTGCAAAAAGATGGTAATTCTAAAGCAGCGTTTATCATTAAACATTGTTCCGAAGGAAAAAAAACGAAGAAAATGTATAAAATCGAATAAAATGTTGATGGGTGATTTCGGTTGATGTATAATATGAGTAGTTTGGAGCGAAAATGTAATACAGAAAAGTTGAGCAGAAAAATGTCAAATGAAAAGGGATAGCTATATAGTTCACTATAGTTTACTATACATTATACTATATAGCTATCTCTTTTCCGCTTATTCATCATCGACATTTTTCCGCGCAACTTTTCTGTATTATATTTTCGCTCCAAACTACTCATATAGGCATATCTCTCAGTCCAATTTTTCTATTAATCATTTTTCTTGGCTGTTATTTGTTGTGTCTGCACATTTTGCATAAATTCTACTAAATCCAAAATTAAAATGCTATCCATTTATAGGCCAGTTAATTTACATGTTTCCAGTAGTAGTTATGTGTTCTGTCATCACTTTATTTTGTTTTATGTGTTTGAGTTTATGTTTGTATATTGTTTTGTTATATATTTTCAGTGTCTAATTATAAGTTCATGGTTATCTATTGATTAGCGATTCTTCTACGGCAATTTGTCCATCTGAACTGTAACACTTAGTGTGTATAATATTTCATTGTGTGACCATCGAAAAGTATATTTGAACCATTGCGACAAACAAATTCCTTTAGAATATTTTAGTTTCAAAGTGCAACATGAATTTTTTTTTATTGAGTTTACAACAACAACTCCATATGAAAAAAACTTTATGTTGCACTTTAATACTAAAATATTCTGGGGGAATTTGTTTGTCGCAATGGTTCATTTGTCTCTTGTCAATGTGTGTGTGTGTGTGTGTGTATTTTTATTTCATCATAAGATGCATCGAAAGAAAGAAAAACCGTCGAGTTTAAAGTAAAATAGTGTGTATGTTATTGAGGGGAAAAAGGGGGAAATAACAAAAGTTGCGTTCAATTGAGAGTGAGATAAATAAAAAATGAAAGTTTCCAATGAAAATTTTGAATAAACTACTTTTAAATATCACACAAGTTTAATAGTTGAACGAATTCGTTTCTCTTTTTTTTGTACAAAGCGCAATGCAAAAACGAAATTTTTGTTATTCAGAGCTTAGATTAATAGGTAAGTTTCCCAATATTCATTGTATATGCTTGTTAAAATGAATTTCAAAACCATCCTTCAGTGTTGCCAATGAAATCAATGTTTTCTTCTTTTTTTTTAAATTGTTGAGCATCAACGTTGAAACGACAACTGCATTTAAGTAGAACATGGTCAAGAGACTTCAGTGGAAAACCAAAAAAAAAAAATAAACACAAAAATGAAGAATTGAAAATTTCGTGTAACATAATCAAAACTTATAAATAGATTGTAATTATATGTGGAACACAAAGAAACTTTAGTAAAGTAAAGTTTTAGTTTCTTTTCTTGTCGTCACGGTTTTCATTATGTGTTGATCAGTCTTGATTAGGATTAATATTATTATTGTTGTTATATCTATGAAATAATTTACATATCTACAGCTACATATCCTTTTTGCGTATGTTTATCCATTTTTAAAATGTGGGTAGCCATTTTAATTTCGAATATGCACTTCTTCCCTCTATTTTTCACTCACTCTCTGCCTTTGTCATTTCTCATTCTTCTTAGCACTCATCAAAAGTAAATTCTACAGATGACGGCAAATGGCTCATCAAATTTAATGAGTAAGTTTTCATTGTTTGTTTGTTCTTCTTCATTCAGATTTCATGTGATTTTGTGTTCGGAACGTTGTTATTTCTTCTTTTTTGTCCATTACATTATTAATTTTGGGATGAGCAATGAGCATACATCGATCAAAATTACGAAAATATATAAATTTTGTGATTTTTCTATAAAAATATTCGATACATTTTTCATGTTTATTTTTTTTCAATGTTCTTTTTTTTTTCTTTCTCTTCCATTTTTTGTATATGATATATTTTGTATTTTGTTCAATCTTGATTTTCTAAAAGTAACAGTTGTTTAGCCGTTTTTTTTTTCTTTCTCCAAACATAGACATTTTGTGCGGGTATCCATTGTGTATTGTTGCTCTTCACATTGGATCATCCACAATTGCATTCCATGTTCACGTATCCTGAAGGGAAGTGTACAAATGATGCGATGAAATCTCACGTATGGTAGGTTGATTTCACATTTATGCCTTGATTTTACGCTTTAAACCGTTCAATTGTTGTACAAGTGATGTTTCACTGGATACGAAACGCTTGTGCTTTTTGTTGCCCATCGAATGATTATTGTTATGCTGTTGCTGTTGCTGTTGCTGTTGCTGTTGCTGTTGCTGTTGTTTGCCATTCTCTTTGGTATCATTTTTAACGGTGTCATCCTGTATTAATCAAAATACCAAAAACGATTTTGCATAAGTTTCGGAACAGAATGAGCTAAGCGAAAATGAATACACAATGATGTTTAAATTATGTTTTTACCTGATTGGATTGTTTCATTTCGTTGGCGGTTTTTGTGAGTGCCTCTAGAACGGAATCGGAAAAGTGGTGTCGAATTGGAGTGGCTGGCCGGGAAAGTACAACTTCCTTTTGACCTTTATGCTCATGAGATTTATTAATACTGTTGCTGCTACTGCTGGTGCTGCTGTTAAATGTACAAAGCAAACAAAAGTGGCCAATCAGATTTTTGTTGTTGTTACTGTTGTCGATTGTGAAGGACTGTATGTTATTTTACTTACCTAGTTGTGCTTGTCGTGGGTGGTGGGACCGTTGTTGATGATATTTGTGATGCGTCAGCTTGCTCTTGCAATGCCCTGGTTAATTGGTATTCGAGCACTTTCAATGGCCGTAGATTTTCATTTTGTTTCTTGGGTAGGCTTCGTTTTCGATCCCAATTAATCCATTCATCATCATCGTAATCAAAACCGGTGTCATAGCCGCCATTGTAAGTGTCTTCAGCATGCTTACCCTTACCCACACTGTTGACCGATTGCGGTTTTTCGCCCTCATTTCGATCCGACGAATTTTTATTTTGTTGATTCTTTCGCAACGATTCGAGATCTTTTTCCTCTTTATCCTCATGTGAGTCTTGCTCATCATCATCGTAATCATTTTGTTTGTGATTTTTGTTTGGCGTATAAAAGTCATTATTTTCGTTACGATTATCTTGATTGAAATAAGTCTGCTTATTCACTGGGGATGAATCGAATCGATTGAATTGATGTGTGGACTGGAATTTCAATGGGTCGAAATAGTCATATGGTTCATTTTGATTAGAAACATCACCATATGGACTGTCAACCTCTTCATCGTCGTATGCGTTGCCCACGTCCATTGGTTGTGGTTGTGGTTGTGGTTGTGGTTGTGGTTGTGGTTGATCAACATTAATGCCATTATTGTAGAGCATTAAATTTTTCATAAAATTACTGGTGAGACTTTTTGGTTGGCCGGTATTTTGGAACCAATTAGTTTTGCCGGCGGGCCAATTACGGTTCAATTGCTCCTCCTGTAGCATTTCCTCGTGCAAATCGTCCAATGGATTCGTTGGCTCCGGATGGTCATTGTAATAATTATTATAGCTAGGTGCACGGGCGTAATAATAGCGAGTGGGCTTGTATTCGCCATGATATGTTGGTCTGCCATACAAATACTCTCGCTCAGGACGATTTTCGGGCTCATCGTCAACGTAATAGTTGTCAGCGCCGGTATCATACAGCGAATCATAATTACCATAGGATGATGAAGATGATGATGAGGGCGAACGATAGCCTGGTTGATCGTATCGTTGCCGTGGTGCAGATAGTGACGCTTGATTTTTGCTAGCGCGTGATGCGCGTCGATAGTTGTTTAAGCCATAAATTGAGTATGGAAACGAAAGTGCCGATGGTAACAGGATGGCTAATAGAACGATAATTAATATGTGTGATGTTTGTGTCAGCATGATGATTACTTGTCGTATGGTTGCGTCTACAGAAACGAAGAGAAAAGTAGGAAAAGAGAATGGTTAATTAGATTCAATTTTTTTTTGTCGGTGGATGATGGGCTCTCAATCCAATGCATCAACAATTATCTAGAATTTAGGTTAATAAATCTGAAACAGTTGAATTCCCATTCTGATTGTCAGCGGCTCACACTGAGTGTGCGAAAAACTTAAGTAACAGAATTATTAACGAGCTTAACCTACTTAACTCTGCCATTGCAATCAATTTCGCTAAAAATTCTTTCACTTCATCTGTTACAATAAATTATCGGAGCTGTAAGCTAATTACAGCACATTTTATTGGCATAGGAACGAAAAGCTATTTTTCTCATGTGTTTGCGCAAATTCGCTTTAGAATTCCGCTTCGCCAGAGCCACAACTATACACCTCGACGTATCGAATTTTGGTTGTTCCATATGTGAAATATTTTCATTCCTAATAAGTTGTTGACGAAGCGAAAAGCCCAAAAGTGAACGAACAAACGAGTGAAATGCGAATTCTGCGTATTTTCCATTGAGATAGAGGAAGAGACAGAGAGAGGCATGCTGAAAATCGAGGGAGAAATTGTAACAGTGTATCCGAAATGATTTCGTGTGTGGGTGCACGAAAACCCAACGCGTCCGATTTGTGATGTGCTTTGTCGTCGATTTCATAAATGCTTTATCCCGCATCTGGTTATCATTAAGCGTACACAAAAGTTTTGCGTAGGCGAACGTCATCACTGTCAGAGCGCGCACAACGCTCCATTTCCCACTTGCTTTGTGGTGTGAGTTGGCTGGTGTTCACCCGGCAATCGCATGATAACATTTGCTTCGTGGGTGGCTTTGTTCGCCGCAGTTTAGTTAATATGAACACTTCCATGTAACCTTTTTCGTTCTGACTCTGGTGTTTTGTTGTTGTTGTTGGTGGTGGTGGTGGTAGTAGTGCGGCTGCTGTTTTTTTTTTCTCGTTTGAATGTGTGTTTGTTGGAAAATTCGTACGTCATCACTGCTCATTCGCGCCACTTAACGTACGCTACATCCATCGCATAATATATGTATAAATTTAGCTTGTTCACAGATATCGAAGAGAATCTACAAGCTAACAGAGCCATATGATATGCATGTAATTGTTGAAAGCACCCAATTCATGTATATACACATCCATTTACCAAGTATATAACTTCATAAAGTATAGACGAAGCACATTAAACTTTATTTCGCTGTTTTCGAGCAAATACGAATGAACGAAAGAGATAGAACAATAGAAAGTCAATAGATTTCGATTATTTGGATATTTTTAGAGAGCTTTTGTGTGCAGCACATTGCTTAATGGCTGGTTGTATGTGTGTGTATGGCTAAAAATACCAACGTCAACATACCAACCGTCGATTTATAAGAATCACTGTGAAACTTTTCAAATAGTTTTTCAACCATTCTGGCGCCGCTTGCAATAAATAGCATAAGCAAAAGAAGCGACAGAATGCAAAAATCAGTGTAAATACATGCCGTAAAAGCGAGAATAGAGTCGGCGACGGGGACGGGTAACAAAATGAAAACAACAACATACTGCAGAATGAATGAGCACGACATGTACTGTACTATTACAGGAGGACAATATGCGAGCAGGGAGAATGAGAGAATAGCAAAAACTTTACCAAATGGCACGTAAATCTTGCAAAAGATGCGTTTTCTTTGCAGCAAAATGAACTTTAGAATAAAAAAAAAATTTGAAGAAGAAGAATGAAAAATAGAAGAAACATTTCCGATATTGGGGATCATTTATTCTATTTCTTGGTTTGATAGTTTTTCGATATGCTTGACGGGAAAAAGAATGAGTTAATAACCAGAAAAAGCAATGGCCAAAATAAGATATGAATTACTATTGCAATTGCAAAATCTCCCACTTAAAAATGAAAATTATGTTGCATTTAAATGAAATGAATGTACTCGAGAATACGGACAGAGCTTGAACGCCCATGCATGCGATGGTTGCCAGTTGTATATCACCCTCATCCAATCGCCAAGCGTTTTTTTCTTCTGCATTTACAAATTTCATTCAGAATTATGAAAGAAAACAAACTTATGAATAAGCAACCAACTGAGTGAGTCAGTGACGAATCCAGCCAAAACTGGAAAAGTATATGCTCATCGTTGTTTTTGTTGTCGTCTTCGTTGTAGTTGTTATTGTCGTTGTCGCCGTTTTTTTTTTCTACTACAAAATGCTTTCGCCTTGAATGAACTATATGTAGAAAAAAAGGATATATTTAGAAGCGAAAAGCGCCAAATGAGCATAGAGAGTCTTTTAAACGGTTTCTATGTTTGTGTATGTGGAAAAGTTTTTCGCCGGGAATGGAACATTTTTGGATATATCAATTGCATAATCTTGTTTTTGAGTCAGCCATTCTTATTTCAGTTCCTCAAAATTACGGTGATTGTGCATTCACAAACCATTTTATTCTCTCTCTATGTCTCTTTCAGTCCTTGTTCTCCTTCGTATGCATCCATTGAATTTTGATCCAACCGCTTATTTTCGACATTTATACCAGAGCAATTTTCTTGCTCTGTATTGGTGTATGTGTGTGTGTGTGTCCGTGTGTTTGGAATATTTTCAGTTTGGAAACTCGATGACGTAACAGATGATCTACTTGAGTAGAGTAGCATCCGCGTATATTCATTCAATGAAAATTGTGGAATAAGAAGCGTACTGTAATTTAACGATTAACCAGTCCTTTTGCCGGGTGCTTGTCGAAAATTATTAAATGAGCTCCGGTTTTTTCAGGGGCCACGAATGAAAGGTACAAGAACGAGAGAAAAAAAAAACTCAATTAATTAAGCTATTCTTCCCTGTTTAATGTAGCCGTAGCCATTTGTTTTATTTGGTGAATCAATTTTCATTCGGGTTGTGTGTTTTCATTCATTCTTCCAGAATAAATTCGTTTGCGTAGGTGGTAGCTACGACAAGGCACACTGTTGTTCTGCTGCTGCTGCTCTATGCAGAACCGAAATTCCGAATGAAACGTTGGCGTGTGCACGGTTTCGGTGTGCGCTTGCTGCTGCTGCTGCCGCTGCCGTTTTCGTGTATTTTTCTCGTTTTTTTTTTGCTTGTCATTTTTCTCAGCATTTTTTTGCGCTTGGAGTTTCCTACGTGCCACAGTACGAATGGATACAGTGAATCTTCAGAGTGTGGCAGAACCATGGATGGATGAAGTTACCTAATTCATAGACGCGGGTTTGCACGTCTTCTGTGGAAAACCAAACCGATACTTATTTTTTCCAGCTCTATCACACTCCCATCATACATGTATATGTACAGTTAATAGAAAAGCATGAAAGAATTTCGAAAGGATACTTGTTGGTAGTGACAGTGGCGTCACTAAAAATTACCATTTTTGCTCGTCGGTTATGGTATTATTGTCGTCGTTGTTGTTGTTGTTGTTGTTGGTGGTTGTGGTGGTGGTGGTGGTGTTGCTGCTGCCATACTTCAAGCGGTTTTGCTATTTGGCAGTATTATCTTTTTTTTCTTCATTTCTGTCTTACTCTCGCTTGCTCGCATTGGTGCTGTGTATTTCGGTCGCCATTGCCGTTATCGCAGTCGTCGCATACTCTGCTATTTGTTTTGTTTCCATTCACTGGCTTCATTCTATTTTTAGCATTTTCATAGCTTGTAAGCTTATGCTGCATCGCCTATACACAATACAATAAATCTATGGGAACTGCTGTTGTATTACGACACATACGTACGATGGTTGATGTCGCTCTTTCTCTCTCTCTCTCTCTCTCTCTCTCTTTCTCTCTCTCTCTCTTCCTCCACACACAACACATACACACACGCCGTATCTATGCCATCTATGCCAATTACATATATTTACGTGGAAAAAAATTTGGCGAAAAGAGTGGACCTGTCAAGTGGTAGAGGTATCAAGCGGGTGGCAACGGCGACGGTAGCAAAGACGACGGCACCAGTGACGACCAAAATGGAGTGAGCAAAAGATGGAAAAGCGGTCGACGAGGTGAATGCCAAAGCGAGAGCTCCGTTAAATACTGAAGAGCTTTTGTGGAAATTTAATTCTGCAACCGTTTTCTTTCTCATACGCACACGCTTTTTTGAAATATGTAAATGTGATTCGATATTCGGAATTAGAATATGATCAGTGGTATAGGTTTGGTTTTCGGATCGGTCGTAGGTGTTTAACATTTTGTCCTAATTTAATCAAATCAATCATATTTCTTTCTTCTTTTTTTTTCGCAACGCATATTTTCTGGAGCATTTTTAGATTTAATTTGAAAAATTGCTGCTTCAATTCCAGATTGAATTAAATTATATGGACATTAGGCAAATTGATGTTTCAAACGGTATTTGGTGCCGTTGCTGTTTCTGCCTATCGCAGTTGAACAATGTTCTAGAACAACAAATTCAACAGATGACATGGAATCAAGCAACCATACGACTACGATGCTCGTTTTACTTCATTCATTTATGCATTGGCAGTTCACGCCCACGCCAAAAACTGCCAACCAATTGCGCACATTCGAATTCTGATGTGTTCTTCTTTTCGTTAACATTGTCGATCAATTTGTTTTTCGGGTTGTTTTTCCATTGAAAATCGCAGATGAAATACGATATAATATAAAATATATTATTTGCGGTAAAGCTCTCAAATAAAAGAGTAAAAAACAACAACTGAGAACAAAGAAGAGAAAGAAAATTATGAAGACAACACACCACCGGATCAGACAGATGTTTTAGTTTTCATATAAAGTAAATTGAACAAATGACTGCGCAAGCAATGCGTGCAAACACTTGTAAAACCATACAACAAAATTCTATTTGCGTCGCCACTTAATTTGGGGTTTGTCACATTCTCAGTGGCTAAGAATAGCCACGATGTGTTCTTCTTACGGAGACGACAATATTACATACGTAAAACACAGGGAAAAAGGGAGAGATAGAGATAGAGAGAGAGAGAGAGAGAGAGAGAGAGAGAGAGAGAGGGAGAGGGAGAGAGAGAGCAACCATAACGAGACTTATGTGACAATAAAATGCGTGTTAAAAATATTTTTGTTTTGGTGAGAGCTCAACGCAATGATACTTTTTTATTACAATACTATTATCCACTCGGATATACATATATACACCTGACGTATGTGTTTCCATTACTCTGTTGTTTGGTTTACGCGCACCACCGAGGCACCAGACGAAATTGGATTATTATTTTTCCTCTGTTATCTCAAAATCAATTAAAAAAGAATTATGGATATCGACTGCAATTATTTGAAAAGAGGCTTAAAATGGATTGAACCTTGCACAAACGAGAATGTGCCAGCGATACAAAAATTTAGAGGGAGCGGGGATAATAGAAATGTGAGCTATTTCCTCGATTTCAAGCACTTCACATTGTATCCTCCAATAAAGCCGTATGATTGCGATTAGCTAGAAAAACTGATTCAAAATGCTTTATGGCGAAGTACGTCAAGTAGAGCATTCGTCCAGTTTTTTTTTTTTGCAGCACTCACAATAAAAGAAATTGTCATAGAAACGCATTTATATAAGCGAATAATGATCGACGAATTCTCATAACCATTTTTCCGTTAACGTCGATTTAAACAGGCAATTTTGTTGCATTGAGTTTGTTCTTCTTCTTTTTTCCACCGTTTTTCCCCGTTATTCTTTGCACCGCTGACAAATTTAGGTCAAATTGAAATCATTTAGTGGCATAAAAAAACGGCAGGCAAACAACAAATGTACAAACATTTCAAATGCATACGAAACACATGGTGCACATGTTATGTGCTCGTCTTTCGTACTCGTGCCACATAAATTCAATTGAAAATGTATGTTTGTATGCAACCGAATGAAATTTATTAAAATTTCACTTCATTCGACTATCTCATGCTCGCCATCTTTTGCTTTCTCTCTCCCACTTCGGCTCTAATTTTGGATCGCACATAATTTTTATGTCCTATCCAACATTCATCCCCAGGCCCGTCTATGCGAATTGCAAAACATTTCATTTGCCTTCCATACCATTTAATTTATCTAGCAATTATATTATGTCTATTTTGCTTTATACAATCTCTTTCGTTCTCTTTTTCTCTCTCTCTCTCTCTCTCTCTCTCTGTCTCTCTCTCTCTATGTATATCGTCGTTATGTGTTTGTGAGTCGTTGATGCATGCACCAATTGTATGTTGTGTGTATGCCATGTTCAGTCGTGCACTTCGGTTCGCAGCACCACTTTTTGTATGTTGAACTGACCCATTTTTTAACAACAGGTTCATTCTCCTTACAGGTTCTTATACAACATTCATGGCAACAACAATTCAGTGGGCTCGTTCGCACTACTGCTACATATGCATATGCAATATATGGTATAGACGAAATTGTTAGCCCATTCCATTCCTTCTTTCTCTCTTGTCATTTGCTTTCAATTTTACCCTTTCTACTGCAGGACAGCTCTAGCCCATAATCCCAACTTTTAAAGCTCATTGTATTCTTCTTTTTTCCCACTACCTCCATTTCGTCTGCCATTTTCATCTGTGTGCCAATTTGAATAAGTTTGTTGCTGTTGTTGTTTTCTTTTCGGCTGGTTTTACTGTACGTTTGTTTTAATATAATAGTAGTATTAAGTAAAATGTCAAGTGGATCATTATTCTGAATTCATGTGAAATGCTTTAGAAGATTGATAGTTGTGTTTCTCTTCTGTGCTGATTTTTTTTTTTCGCTTATTCACTTTACTTTGTTGCGTTGCGCCTGATGTGTGTACATACGGGAGATATTCTCAGAATTGATTATTATCGAGCTCATTATTATGTGACCCCTCTATGGCAACTCATGATTTTCCCATCAAAAGGCGAGTCGGGATTATTCGTTGAAACGTGTTAACTTTTATTGCGTATCTATCTGCTTCGACGCCCACACGACAAAAATATTCATTCGAAAATGAAACAGCAACCATGAGAGAGCAGCGTGGCGGTGGTGGTGGCAGCAAAAGCAACAACAGCACCACCACCACTACCACAATTTTCAGCTACAGAGCATTTTCCAGCTGGTTTCACATGCAAAAGTAAATAACTAAACGAGAGAGAGAGAGAAAGAAAAAAAAAACAATTTTCCCTTGAATCCTCTCGTTCACTGACTGACAACCCACCGCACATACACACGCACACATTTTATCAGTGTATCATTTTGGTAATAACGTACGTGCCATCATACTTTCGTTGATAATCTCCGAAAAATTACCATGCAAATTTCCAAGACCATTCATAATTATTCCCAAATCATCTCTCAAGCCCAGCAAATGGCAGGCCCATTTTTCCTGCATCGTTTTTTTTTTTTTGTTCAAAGCCACACAGCAGCAACAACAAACAAACAAACAAAACAAATGGAAACCAAATGCATGAGGAGCGAGTGAAGCGATGACAGATTGGGAACTCACAGCTAGTGAAACCTTATGAGACTTGACCAAACAAAGAGACTGCATTTATACGGTCTGGTTTCGATAACTCGCATTCGCGATCCTTTCATTCTCTTTCCATCTGGATTATGCTTGAGTTGATTATTTTTAAGTAAATACCCGAGTTAAATACGAATTCTGAGAGAAACAGAGAGAAAATCCAACAACTTACCCGAGGTCCTTCGCGGAATAAAGAAGTAAAAATAAATGCTCGGTTGATCGTTATATGATGTTGCTCTCGTGCGTGGGCGCTATTTATTATTTTCTTACTTTTAATGTAGTATTTCTTTGTTTATTGGTTATGTTCGTCCGTTTTATTTATTTGTTTGTTTATTTTACTCTTTTTTCCTTTGCTTTCCTTTTTCCCTTTATTTTCTGTTGATTGGTTCTATCAACGGTACTCGGTTATTTGCTTTTTGCGGGTAAATGCAAATTGGTGATATCTGCGTTCTGTCCGGAATTGTTGTGCAGAAATGTACACAGGCACACAAAGCACGCACGCACAAAGCAAAAAAAGATAAACCCTCTAACGACTGTTATCTTATAACTGTTGCTATCTCAACTTCTCACTTCAACACGTCACCCGGAAAGGTGTTCAATGCACCGCTTCAAGCCGAACCAGTGCATAAATTACAAGCTCAAAATTCACCGCTAGAACTTTATCGCTATAGAAACACACTCGAGAGCCGTTGGACGTTGCTTTTTATCTCTGCGGATTAGGCTGCCTCCAATTTTTGGAAACCTTTTTTGGCTAGATTTTCTTTTCTTGTTTCAATAATACTGAATCTTATCGCGATTTGAATGGTTTCTTAATGAGTTCACGGAAGATTTATAACAACTACTCCAATTCACTTGTGCACACCATTTACCACTTTGATTTTTGAAATGCAAAATTTTCAAAATGCATTGACTTCGTTTCTTGTCATCGATTAAAAGTAATACTGTAAACGATTTTTATTTTGCTTCACCAAATTTTAGAATCATTCGCGGTGCTTTCAAATCTTTGCTTTGCTTTTTGTTATTTTCATCGATTTCAAAGTTTTGTTGGCGGTTGTTTATTTGTTTGGGGCCGTCGATGTCGTTTATTTTTCTACTTCAAACGTTCGATGTGAATAGCTGTAAAGCCACGGATAGAGTGACGTGCAATGCTTGCCGACTCAGTCAATTTATAGAATGAATTTTCGTCTCTGACGCCACATCACGTTGCTTCTCGGTACGTTCATCATCCCGCTGAACGCCCACACATTCTGAATGAAATTTTTTCCTTTATTCATCAAACCATCCATACTCTTGCTTTGGTACATACGTGATTGCATACTACCGCATTTTCACTCTCGCATACACACATTCACGCACATACATGTATTGAAACACCATTTTCCGACGTAATGCCGAATGACTGACAGAGAATTTCCACTGCATGTAGCGGACAACCGACCGAAGCGAGTTCGCAGTGAATTTGACAAGAACCAACCGACAACAATAGCAACAACAACAAGTGTGGAAGTCTGTTTGGTAAGAACCGAATTCTCAATCGGTAGTTGTTTCGTGGATGTTCGGTCGTTTGCTGTCGTCACCATGCCCCGCGTAGCCGCCATGGCATTTTTTTTTTTCATTTCATTCTGATTCAGCACAACATTATCTCGCATTCTCGCTCTCTCCTTCGTCTGCCAACTGAATTTTCCAACATTTGTTGTCCTTGCATCTCAGTTTTTCTCACATTCATACGATTGGGTCAGCGCCTAACTTTCAATTTAAATCAAATGAGCTTATGCAAGTTTCGTTATAAATTTGACTTTTTTCCATTGTGAAATATCCTGAATAAATATATTGACATCAATGCACTTTTTTACCACCACTAAATGATTGTGAGTTTATCTAGGGGCAAGACACGGTATCAATTTGTCCTAATTCAACTATTTTGAACGATTTTTCCATTGTTTCTTCTAATTCCATAAGTTTTTGCTAATTTTTTAGTTTTTTCTTCTACACATTTAGTATTACCAATGCATTCCTTATGGAAATTTTTGTTTTGTTTATTTATTGTTGTTTGTAAACAAATCTGCGATCTTTTTGCATTGAAATGTATTGGCAATGCTAAATGTATGGAACAAAAAAGTTTCAGTCTCTCTAATTTCTGCTAATTTTGCAATTTTTGAACGAAATATCACTATTTTTTTTAATCGTGTCTGTCCCCTAGGAGTTTATTTTATATACAAACAAGGCATAAGATTTGACGAAACCTTCACGGCAACACACATGCAAACGTTCGAAAAGCTTCGCATTAAAATAGGCTCTTGTCCCATTTCTATTTATTTGATTGTGTAAGAAAAATTGTCGTCATCATTCCTGGTTGACGCATATTCACCATCGCTATATCGCATGGAAAATATGGTCGGATACTAGACGAGTACCTCTATACAAGAAAAAAAATTGCTGTACATGTTTCAGCTTGTCCTCAATTCAAATATATAAACTGTGCTGTTTGTTACACTGTTGCAAATTTTCGGAGCATTTCTACTGATTTCTTTGATGAAAAATCCGATTTTAAAGTGAAAGCATCATGCTGTGGAAAAGCTTTGCATTGTTGATGAATGAAGACGGTTCTCTTAGTACCCAGAAACAAAAGCGTAAAATGTCGAAAATGTATGATTATGCCGAAAATAAGCCGCAATTTATTGCGTTTATTGAAGAAAGACGCTTGGATCAAAAATGATATTTTTTCCGTTGAAAATAAGCCAAGAATCCATATAACTGACTTTCTTTTACGAGGTGTAACAATGTTTCGATATTTGTGAAAAAGTTTTTATGATGAACTTTAAGTTATTCTTAATTCACAATGATAATCAATTCTTTTTTTCTCGAATGGCTCAAACTATCAGCCAAAGACATAATTTTGGCATTCTTCGCATTACCAGTTTTATTACTACTGTTCCAACTGGAATTTTTTCTTTTGAGCTTATTATTTTTAGGTAATTTCCATTTCATTTGTGTATGCTCTGCTTTTCCTTCCTCCTTGTTAGTTTCGTCATTTTGAGCTTTTCTGCAATGTTAGCATTTTGTTCATGCATATCCGTTTAGCCCGAGCACTTTCATTAACTATAGATTCAGCAAGCGATTTTCAATAAACAGATATTACTCGGGAAACGAGCCCAAGAATTGAAGCTTCCTGCAATTACGGCTATATTTTATATTTTCAATTAGTTTCATGCTTGGAATCCGCTGTGAATCTGACGAAGAGAACATTAGACTTTCTTTTAACATAAATAGTTGGTTAAAAGAGAGTTTGGACATCAATAGTTATAGTTGCACAGTTAATAAAATATTATTGTTAATATGTTAATGCTAATAACGATATTAATATGGTTAAATTATTAACATCTCGTGTTAATAATATATTATTAATTAATAATATTCTATTAATATATTTATACTATTTAAATATTAACATCTAAAACATTAGAAAAATGTTAATAATTATTAACATCAGAAATTAATATCGTTATCAACAGAAATATTATATTATTAACATATCGATTTTGTGCAATTATATCAATAGTCAAAATAATAGCTGAAATAACTATTAATTTTAGTTCGATTAACAGAAATTACCGAAGTTAATAGAATTGTAATTGCCAAAGTAATTTATCCCTTGGCATCTGACGATGATAGCAAAGAAAATATCATTGTATCTGAAGCTCTCTATTGATGTTAATCATGAACAATTATCGATGTGCAATAATCCTATCAACAAGCCTAAAAGCCTCCAAATTCAATCGAGACATAGCAATCGAGTTGGCATAGTATCTACGTGAAATGTTCCTATGCACAAGATTCTTGAATGACGTATTGCTGTCGTCGTATTTTTGGTTAGTTGAAGAGTCAAAGAGTCGAAAATCTCCATCGTTACTCTTTAAACTGCTTTTCAGTTTGCTCACACGTCTGAGCATGTAAAATAAGATCGAAAAGGTGTGTCAAGTGCTGATGACTCTCAATAATTAGTTTTTGCGTTTTTCATGTTTACTCGAATGTATGGCTGTTACTTGGCGCTGTTCTAGGGGCATTTAACTCGAAAAAAATTCGTTTTATGCGAAGAATATGCGCTTCAACTCATAGTATGTGGCGATTTCTTCGTACTATGCGTATTATGCGGTGCCTATTCGTTAGAAGTGCACACATTCGATGTCCAAATACTGCACATAGACCATTCATACTGCGAATAATTTCGCATGAATCCTACTAAAATGTTTCCTTCTCTGATGGTCACACGCCACAATATCGACTATTTTGAATTCAAAGTGCAACGACTTTTTTCATGTAAAAATTCAAGAAATACTTGACTGCAAGTGTTTGATTTGTACGGCTCACATTTTTTGCTGATCATTTTTGTTAACTTCAATCATTTGTACATATGGATTTTTTATTATTTATAATCCAGATGCTATTTCCAAGTATAATGAATCGTCGCACTTATTTTTTCAACAATTTTTATATCTACCAAAACTATCGGCGATTTTACTTCAATATTTGTATAATATAACATTTTGATTTTCGTTTTCATTCTTATTCTTTGCTATTATAATTAATTTTGTGTTATATTTAAATTCAATTTTCATCAATTAAGAACAATCTCATTAGCAAGAGATTTGATAAATATTAAAGACAGAAATTGTTGATGTCAAATATTGTTTGAACGAAACTTAACGATACAACAGAATGTTGACATTGTGTTGATGCGTCTTGAATCGCATCGTGGCGTCATTATGTGCACGCGTATTCGCTTCTATGCGTAATATTCGTGACTATGTGCAAAATTCGACACACTTCACTGTGGCACACAATCTATGCGCGTTTATCCGTACAAATCACATATATGAAAAAGAGTAAAAAGCCCCTAGGCGCTGTTAGTGCCTGCATCTGTGGCAAATTACATTTTCTTAGAAGTTACAGCTGGGAATCTCGATATTGAAGTGTTATACCACCAAAACCAGCAGCCTTCTAAGTGGCTTAGACCATAGTACGATGACCTTAGAGAGATTATTTCCAAATTTGGTTTAAATCTGTCATCAAATTAATTTACACGTTTTTACATTTTGTCAAAATACCATGTTAATCCGCCTGTGAAAGCAAGTATCGTTAGTTTCCAAATATAGCGAAATTTGAAAGCAAATTGACAAAATGGGCGAGTTTTTCAATCGATCGCATTGATTGACGTTTGATGGAAAGAAAACTGAAGCAGAACAACATTTTTGAAAACAGCTAGAAATTGCTGAGAAGTACAAAAATGTTTTTTTTTAAATATTTCAATTCCATTCCATTGTCAATAAATTCATTTGAATATTCTAGATAATTTTCAACTTCAAAGCAATCTCGTTTTTGTTTCGATTGTAGTGTCAAAGTGTAAATTTTTTTATCGATGGCAATAATATTATTAAAAAAACGAATAGTATACTGCTAGCACCACCCATGAAAAAATAAATTTCACAGAAGATATTCAATTAAAAGATTGGTATATATATATTTTTAAAACTATTTTTCTTCTGGCCTAAATGAATTAGTATCACTAGTAACACAAACTGCTAAAATCCAGTTCCAAATCGCTATATACAACTTCTATGTAACAAAAATTTTCGTTGCTAATCGGTTGCAATGTTGATATGCTACTGGAAAAGCGCACTTGGGCGGAGCCCAAAATGCCCATATGATGTGGATCTTTGGAGTAGCATTAGTTGTTCCCCGGAACATAATTGCCACATGATTAGTTCCATGCCACTGAAATGTCACACATTTGCCACTAAATATGTTCCGAGCAACAAAATTTGCGTAGCAATTCAGTTCCAAAAGAAATTTTTCATATTAAAATTTGTTGCAAATCTTGTAGCAATTCAAAAACTTAAAACTTCAAATAAATAATAAAAATGGAATGAACAAATGAAATTCTTTTCGTTTGGAAATAAATATATGAACTTTGAAATCAATTTTCGGTCGATTTTTAAACCGAATTTTAGATGTGCTTCCAAATTTACATCCTCGTCTAATACCATTGATTTTACATGTAAAATAACAACAAGAAACGACAAAAGTGACCTCTCGTAGCGGTACAGTTGAAACTAACGAAATAAACACAATTGAACATGTCATTTTCATGTTCAGTGTTGGTTCTGTTGTTTGCCGTATAGCCGGAGAGAGATGTCTAGAGCTTAGTGGCGTTGAATGACATTCAACACCCATGCAAATTCATGGGAAAAGTTATGATTCTACCCTTCGAAATTTTCACGCGCCGCTTGAATTTCTTAAAATAACCAAAGTTATTTTTTTTCAAGAAAATTTTAAAAATTGAAATTAGTGATTATAACATAAATTTTTTTTTACCAGAAAGCTCCAAAAATGCATTATTATTCCATTACATATGGATTTTATGCATATTCATTATTATGTTTTAATTCATTATTTTGCACAGAAAATATTAACATTTTCTTTGTCTCTGAAAACACGTGGTAAATGATTGTAAAATATTGAGACTCTCCATCTCCAGGTTCCAAGAATACCAGTATTTGTGGCAAATCATTATTTGGCACATGTATGCCCTTAGTTGTAGCAAACAAGTTGAGAACACGTAATTTTAACTAATTTGTGGCAAATATTTGTTCCAAATAGCATGTTGCCACAAGGATAGTAACTTCTCTTTGAATTTTGTTGTATACAAGTGACTAACACTCCTTTGGAACAACAAATTTGTGTTCCATAAAAATTATTGCTACTCAAATGCAACTTTTGCTTTACTGGTGTCATTTAAGTTGCTGACATCGATTTGTAACAATAGATTTGTTCCAATAATGTTTCAATAATGTTCCACCAATGTTGCAAATATTGCATATTGATGTAAAATTCCTAGAAAAATATTAATTACAACCTTTTTGCATTAAATATGTTGCTTCAGAAATATATTTTTCTAAATGTTCCATTATGTTTGTATTCGTTTTTGAATAATTAATAAAAACTATAATTTTCAACACATAAAAAAATTATTACAATTATGTTTTTTTGCACACATACATTTGGAAAATGTTCTTTTTGGAACTTATTTTCACATATTTGTCACTTATTTGCTACTAATAGGAAACGCCCAATGAAACCTGGGCTGGAATTCTAAGTCATTCCACCAAAATCATTCGGAATTATTTTTTTCGTACATAAGACCATATTGGAGTGAAAGAGAGAGATTCCACTATTTTTCAGCGTTCCACCGGAATTATTTCTCACACATTCCACTCTTCCTTGAGTTATCGGAATAATTCCGGTGGAATGCTGAAAAATAGTGGAATCTCTCTCTTTCACTCCAATATGGTCTTATGTACGAAAAAAATATTTCCGAACGATTTTGGTGGAATGACTTAGAATTCCACCCCTGATCCAAAAAATTGCATATGTTACTTTTATGTGACTTATTTGCCACAGAATAATCTTCGGAACTATATTGCTACATCATTGCCACTCATGTGGGACTAACCCATCATGGAACCTAAATGCCACTGAAATGTCTCACATTTGCCACTAATCTTGTTCCGGGCCACGGTTATGCTACGCCTATGGAACAAATTTTTGTGGCAAACCGAAATTGGTGTTACTAGTGTATCCAAAATAAATGATAAAAGGTAAATTTATTAATACTCCGTCACTTGTTTTTTTTTATCTTTTCATTTAAATTCTGTTGCCGCGTTCCACATATCTGAGAGTGCGACAAACAAATTCCCTCAGAATATGTTAGTTTCAAAGTGCAACATGAATTTTTTTTTTATATTGAGTTTACAACAACAACTCCATATGAAAAAAACTTTATGATGCACTTTAAAACTAAACTATTCTGAGGGAATTTTGTTTGTCGCAATGGTTCATATATAGTATGACTTTATGTTCGGCAAGCGAAGACAAAAAGAGATATTGGTAAAAGTAATTCAAGTCTTTCATGCTGTGGCTGTGTTGTATTTTATTTATACGTGTGTTGTTCAAGAGTGTTGGTAATATTGTTGCTGTTGGCTGCCGATTTTATTTTTTCTTCATATGTATGTCGGTGAATATTGGTGTTTTATGTGCTGTTTCAACACAGTCTCTGCGCGGCGTTGATCGAGTGCTAAGCATTCGGTTTTCTGTGTTCGTGAGTGCTGAACAGCAGCAGCAGTGATCGTTTCGACATTTCACTTCATGTGAACGATCGAATTTCTTCATTTGTTTGTGTTTCTATTTCGTTGTTCGCTGCTATTTCCTCTCTTTCTCTATTTCATGTAAGTTTTTTTTTTTGTGTGCCATTAAAAGTGCTGCTAACCGAAGAGTGAAAGAGTTGTCTATTGTATGTTGTGTATGTTTGTACTGAAATAAACGAACTTTTAATTAAATCGAATAAATTTCCTCGAATAGTTTGTTAGGTTGACTATTGTCTTTTAAATGCTGTGCATGGACAAGTGGTATGGTGAAAATATTATTATCAACATCTGATGTGTGGGAAAATTAAATTGACTTTTCATCAAAATTATATGGCATCAGAGTTTGCTTGTCTCGTCTGAAAACTGGTTTATTTGCAACAAAAACTAACAATCCCAACAACAACAACAAGTAAAAAGAGATATGTTTTTGTGCACTAATTTTGCTTTGACTAATTAATACGTGAAGCGTGAGTGGCAAACTATATGACGGAAGTGTGAGTGTTGAAATGAAAGCCGAAACAAAAGGCGAAACGATGAATGATTCGAAATGTGACTTATTTCTCGAATCAATATAATTCATTTCTAATATTTTATTTCGGTTGACGTCAATTTTTGCCGTCGATCTGCTTCGCTCGTTCTCTTTCTATTCACCTCTCACATTGTTGTGCGATTCCCAAGTTTTCCTCTTAAGTTACCTTCATTGAAAGTTTTTGTGTAAAATGTTCAATCGATTGCCAAAGTTAAATGATGCCCCTTTGTTTTGTCCGACTCCATTAAAACGATGGTTTTGCGCAATGTGCACTGATACGAACAATAATACCTTGTGTATGTCTTATGTCCGAATGGCGTATACGATTTAACGAATAATTGTACAATTAATCTCATTTAGTTCGGCCAATTGTATGCAATGTTATGTATGTATGTGTGTGAGTATGAAAAAGTTTTTTGTACTTGGGTAGTGCTCATTCAAAAGAGAGAGAGAGAGAGAGAGAGAGAGAGAGAGAGAGAGAGAGAGAGAGAGAGAGAGAGAGAGAGAGAGAGAGAGAGAGTAGGAAAAAAGTGCGTGGAGTGGGAAGCCGTTCAAAATTTGCACATTTTCTGACGTATCGCATAAACATTCTCAGTAATCATATACTTGATTGTTCTTTCTTGAATGTGAGACTGTGATTCAGGGGTTTGATTCATAGCCGTTATTTTTTTTTCTCTCCAGAAATCCATTTGTTCATTCTTGTTTTGCCATTCTTTTTTCGTTATTAGTTCTTGTTTTTATGAAACTGGAAACTTCCTTCCAGATCGACGACTGTGACTCATACGAGTATCGATTGCAGTATCAGGTTTTAATGATATATATATTTTTGAATATAGGGTGAAATGTTGTCATTCATTCCTTTAAAAGAACACGTAAAGCCATTCAAGCGCTTTAGAATTTTTCTTTCTATCCTTAAAGAATACCGCAAACGTGTTACAATTTGGCAGTTAATTTAATTGAGAAACCAGAACAAATCTCATTGCATTAAAACAATCGATCTTAAGAAGTCGTTGTAGAGCCAATCATTTGTATGATTGAAACCATTGTTAAATCAAAAGATTTGAAAAGACAAAGACACAACATCCATTGATGAATAAAAAAAGATATCAACGAATAATCGACACTCATTCAGGAAAGAAAGATATTAATATTGCACACAAATTCGTTGTTATCATTTCAGGCATCGGTCTCCCTTTGGCACAATGCATATCGCAAGCATATTGGTTATTTGTAGTGTATTTATGCTAGCAGCCGCCAAAACCGGTATGTATAATGGTCTATCTATGATACCCAATTTGCATTATTGATTAATTCAATTTTGAAGGTTATTTTTAATCTTGCGTAAATTTCATACTTCACTTCAAACTCGATTTTCTAGTTGTTTTGTTGTTCTTTTTAATTTTTCCATTGAATCCATTAACGGCCGTTTTTTTCTGCTTTGTTTGTTTTCCGTCGTCGAAATTGATTAACAGGTCCCTCACATGGTAAATTGGTTGTATGTTATGTGTCAACGTGGGCCGTTTATCGGACTGGTAAAGGATCATATAGTCTTGAAAATATTGATCCCAATCTCTGCACACATCTAATCTATTCCTTCGCTGGCTTAGATGTTGCTAACGATGCAATTAAATCGTTAGGTACGTATACTACGCTGACATTTCTTTCTCATAAGGCATTATACCACATTTTCCACATCGCTACCCAAACACTGGTCATTATTTGCTTTTTATTAATTTGGAAATTTTCCCTTCAGATCCTTGGCAAGACTTGAAGGACAACTACGGAAAAGGAGGGTATGAACGACTCACACAGCTGCGTCAAACGTTTCCCCATTTGAAAGTAATTAATCGTTTCGTTGACATTTCCGAGACAGATGAAAATAATTGAAATGGGCAAATGAAATTGATGACTGACTTACACGATTGTTTACATCCTTAGGTATCATTGGCGGTAGGTGGGTGGAACGAAGGTTCGGACAATTATTCACGACTCGTTGCGAATGCAGAGCGTCGTAAACGTTTTGTTAAAAGTGCCACCGATTTTGTATTACGCTATCGATTCGATGGTCTCGATTTAGATTGGGAATATCCAACACAACGGTTAGCTCACATTGAATTGTCTTGATTTTCTTCATTGCTCTATTCATTGAATTTTCTTTCTTCATTCAGAGGAGGTCAACCGTTCGATAGAGATAATTTTGTGTTGCTGGTGAAAGAGTTGAAAGAAAGTTTTCGACCACACAATCTGTTGCTGTCGTCCGCATTCGGTGCATCGCAGAAAATCATCGATGAGTCGTATGATATTCCAGCATTGTCAAAGTATCTAGATTACTTGCACATTATGTGCTACGATTATGGCGGTGCGTGGGATAAACATATTAGGTACGTATACCATGCTGATGTTTCTTTCTCATAAAGCATTATAACCACATTTTTTGCACTCCCTAATGATATATATTTGTTTATAACATATTAGCGCAAATGCTCCACTCCACGGTCAAGGCATTTTAAATGTTGAACACACAATTGACTACCTCATCAAATTGGGTGCAACGCCAACGAAAATTGTTATGGGTTTACCGTTCTATGGTCGAACGTTTATCACAAAATTGAATGGTACTTTCGGTGATGCATCGAACGATGATGGATTCCCAGGGCCATACACAAAACAAAACGGTTTCATGGGCTACAATGAAATCTGTGTTTTGCTATCGGATCGAACATCCGGATGGACCAGATCTTATAATACGGAGCTTAGTCAAGCCGTTGCCACACACAAAGCCGAAGAAACGGGTGAAACTCGGGTCGCAGTTTATGATAGTAGCCGCTCTATCGCACACAAAGTTAAGTTTGCAATGTCACGCAATTTGGCCGGTTCAATGGTGTGGTCAATCGATACTGATGATTTCCATGGTGACTGTGATATTGACACGGATACATTTGATGATTTTAAACCTATGCCCGGTGTCAATTTGAACTTCCCATCGCGACATAATGCAAATTATCCTCTGTTGCGGACAATAAATGAGGCTACGGTTGTGGCACTCGATGAAATTGCCCAAGAAGCCACACTACCCGAAAAAGACAAAGAGAATGAAATCGATGACAAACTGGAAGATGACAAGGGCATCGCTATCACTGCTACACAGAACACTTGTTTTATGGCCGTTGCCATGCTTTGCTTGTACTATTTACAAATTGCAAATGAATTTTGAGTGATCTTCTAATTTTAGATACCAATTTTAAGAAATGTTTATATTTTAAACGATTTTAAGTCAATTTTTTCTGGGCCCAATAAAAAACATCACATCTTTTTTTAGAAACATTTTATGTATATATCGAATGTTTATTTTCATTTTAATTAAATATTTCGTTCGCATTTACACATCGAATACATATATATATATATATAAAAAAGATTTCGATGCTTGAAGAAAAAAAGGGTTAAATATAATGCAGCCACGAACAAAAAGTTTGGTCTTAAACATTGCATATGTCATAGGTTATTTTATTGAACTTCGCATGGTCCCCGATCTGGCCGATAAAATGTGCGTAGCTCATCGTCTTCATCATCGGAATCGGATGTGTCATCATCACTGCTTGATCGATCTGGTCGATGAAATTCGCCATTTACCAAACGTGCAATACTTCGCATATAAGTGCGCACAAAATTCTCCGAATTGTGATTGAGATTTTCTTTGATACATTTTTTCAATCTATCTTGCGACGGCCGCTGAAAGAACGAAACGACATGCATTAGAACTATTTCTTATTTTCTAATTCAAACGGCATCGAACATGATTATTAAATCTTAGTCTCGGATAATTATTTGAAATTGAATAGTTTTCATCAAGATAGAGCTGTAGATATAGATGCATTATGGTTCTTTTTGTAGTTCAATGAGCATTCAACTTACGCCGTCTGGATTCATTGGACTCCATATTTTCACGTCATGATCTAACCCTGTAATAGCATGAAAATAGCATTAGTTAAAAACGCATCTCAATAATGATATATCGTAACACATTGTAATCAGGTGCAATCAGAAACGAAAAAGCGATTGAATTTATTCTCTTCTCTTACCAGATGTGGCGATGATGGGAAAATGCGGGTGACCCTCAAGACAATTTACAACACCACTCTCATCACCCGGTAACCATTGAACGATTGCCTCGCTATTTTTATCCCACATGAAGAAATTACCGCAATCGCTACCGCTCATTATGAATTCGGAGCACGGTCCATAGAAATTGACACCTTTTATGGTTTGACGATTTCTAAATTAAAGAAAAACAAAAACGTTGCATTTCCAATCTCTCTTCGTCCCTTATAATGGATGAGAAAGAAGAATCTTACTTGTGACCGTAATAGGTGTGTTTGTATTCTCCTGGTGTGCTAACTGAAGTATCAAATAAATAGATATTTTCATCTCCGTACGATGCAAGAATCTCGGTACCGTTGTAGTTATATAATGCACAAGTGATATTGAGATAACTTGCATTTTTCTATTAATAAACCAATAATACAAACCAATTAACATGCAATCAAGTTACGGAAACCCTTTCATTTCTCTTTTCCTTTCTGTATATAAAATGGTGCCATCGAGGAAGTACCACAGTTACCTTTTGTTGGAGAATATTTTCCGGGCAAAACATTTTGGAGCATTCTTTAACGTTGCGTTTGTCATAGACACGAACGAATTTATCGCGGCCACAAACACAGAATTCTGGATCAAATGGATGTACAGCAACGCTGTACAGTGGAATTTCATCTTTTGATGTACGCAGTTGCACCAGTTTTTCGCTGGGTTTGTTGTCCCTTAAATCGCTTCGCATGACGCAACCATCTTCACCGGCCGTCAATACCTCGCTTGGGTTTGAATCGGGTATAGCAATTTTATGCACGGGATGATTGTGACCAGTAATAACACGATCTTGTGCACTGCCGTCGGGTGCCACCTGAATTTGTCGCACTTCACCATCGCGTGCTGATGTGATTAAATGGAAATCTTTTTGATTGGTTGCGGTGCCATTATCGACGAATTTCGATTGGAAAACATTTGAACGATGGCCACTCGTTTGTACTATGATTGGTTGCTGTTTTGCCCAATTCCATACAACGACCTTCAAATCATCGGAACCGGTGACGAGTAAATTTCCCGCTTTATTAAAATTAAGGCAATTAACGCAACCGTTATGCTTTTCCAGCTTATGCAACAGCATCATACGTTCAACACTATAGATGGAACTGCTGATGCGTTGCGTCAGTCCGTTGGCAAGTGCATCGTAAATTCGGCGATCTCCCTTCAAAAGCATACCAGATTGACGATAAATCAAATTCCGCACCAGGTTTAAGTCACATCTGAATTTAAAAAAAAAAGAAGACAAAACCAATCTTATTAGCATCCACGAAATAGAAAAATAAATGGTTGCATAAAGAATCATGTTGAAGGAAAGGAATTTACTTTGGTCTCGGTTTATTTAAAACGATTTGTGTTTTCTGTTCATTTTCCGTGGAATCGTCGGAGTCAGAAGCCGATGTATCGTCATCGTCGCTTTGTTCATCTTGATCGCTACTAGTGATGGAGCTGTCGTCATCATCCAAAAGCGACATCATGGCTTCATCGGAATTATTCAATGGCGTATCGGGCGACTCCTTCGAATTAAGTGTTTAGATTTAAATAAATTTTTCAAATTCAATTTTAAGTTCCAAACAATTTACCTGCAGATTATTTCCATTTGGATTTGGATTTGGTTCATCCGTTGGTACATCCGACACAGTAGCTTCCATCACTGGTGCACTGTTCGTTGACGACTGCGAATCAGAACGTCTACGATAGTTTCGTTTGGCAAATCGGCTAGTTGGGCTCTTACTTTTAGTCTCTTCATTCGATTCATTTCCTAATTGTTCCATCTTGTTTTCAGTTTCCGTGTCACTTGTCTTATTTGCGTTGCATTCGATTTGACTGTAGCAAATTATGAATATTCATTGAATAATTTACAGAGAAAAAAAAGAAGAATTAATCTGATATGTATTACTTTGATGTTGACGGCGCGTTCGGATCCAATTTATAGCGTTTGGGTGAAGTAGACGACGATGTTGTTGGCTGTGAATTGCCATCATCGTTCGCAGCCGCTGTTTCGCCGTTCGTATCGGAATTATTGTTTTCGCCCGCTTCCATTCTGCTACACCAAATGGATTTTTAATTTGTGCGAGCCGGGTTTTGTTTAGCTTTATCACAAATAAGCAATTAAAATGACAATCCTAATAAATGACGATTTTCGATTGTTTGTTCAATATTTACGATTGAAATAATTTTTCGATGACAATTCAAGTTGTCGGTGAAATAGTGTTTTGCGTTGACTTTTCGTAATATCTCAATGTTTTGTGTGTTTCTTTAATGCAGTAATCGTCCACACTGTGAATATAACTACTACTGCTGCTGCTACTGCTGCTTACGAAGAAAAAAACACTCGAATAACAAAACAGCTGATGACTTCGAAAACAATCTAACAATTTTCAATTGAAATGTTATCACAGCGTTTCTAGCGATTTTCGGCAATAATTTCCGTGGACCGTATGATGGTCTTTTTTTGATCGGTAAATAAAAGTATGGATTTTACTATTTTTGGAAGCGCACACACTGCTGACAACAAAGTTATTTTGTTTTGCCTGTATTTCAAAATAAACATAGGGCGACGACGGTCGACGAAGTGTGAACCGCACCTTACGATGTGACAAAACGGCGACTTGAATGATTTCTTTCTGTTCAAAACGAAATGTGGCTAACTGTCAAAGTATATGTGTGCCCAAAAAGAGCCAGTCATTGGATTGTTATATGTTGTCTATCTGAAGCAAACACTACTGTGTGCAGTTGGTTAATTTTTTATTGAAATTTTTGGATAGAAATTTTCTTACAGTCGATTTGTAAACAAGCAATAATAATTCAATATGAGCGTACGCGTCATTGATGATGAAAACCATTTCCAGCAAGAATTACAAGCAGCTGGTGTACGTTTGGTTGTGGTCGATTTTACAGCAAGCTGGTAAGTCACACAAAAAAATAAATTAATTTGAAATACGTTCTTGTTTACTAAAAAAAGAGAATGGTTATTTTTCGTTAGGTGTGGACCATGTCAGCGGATTGCACCACATTTCGAACAATTGCCGACCAAATATCCACGGGCGGTATTCTTGAAAGTTGACGTTGATAAGTGTCAAGATACAGCGGCTGCACAAGGCGTTAGCGCGATGCCTACATTCTTCTTTTACAGAAATAAGGTAAAATTTTGGGTGGAAAAATGTGAATAAATTAAGTTTGATTGAAAAAAAAAATCGAAATTTCTATGACATTTGCTTATTTTTAGACGAAAATTGATCGCTTACAAGGCGCTGACCTTGCCGGTTTGGAAGCAAAAATTCAGCAACACATCGGTAGCGCAGATGTTGATTCGGGTGAAGATTTTGGTCAAGGATTGGTACGTTATTCAATACACATTTGGAGTATTTATTGCTTTTCAACATAGTGAGTCATTTCTATTAATAACTTTCGACCTTTCCACAAAAAACTCATCTCCTCTTCGCAGATGGATCTGAATGTATTCATAATGAAAAATCAATGCGAGTGTCTGAATGAATCGGATGATCATCCCTTAGCACATGCTTTGACTAGTGGCGGTGGCTACTTGCAATCCGACTGTGACGAACAGTTAATTCTATCGATTACGTTCAATCAAGCGGTTAAAATTCATTCGATCAGATTGAAAGCACCCGAAAAACTTGGACCAAAAAATTTGAAGCTATTTATTAATCAGCCCAGAACTATTGACTTTGACCAAGCTGAATCGAGCACTGCAGTTCAGGATATTGTGTATGAATTTCTTTCACTGTTTGCTAAATCTTTCCAATTAAATTTATATGTTAAAAATCCATTTGTTTTGTTACAGTGTTGATCCAAAGGATTTGGCTGGGAATCCAGTCAATTTGCGTTATGTGAAATTCCAGAATGTCCAAAATATTCAAATTTTCATTAAGGACAATCAAAGCGGTGGCGAGGTGACGCAAATCGATACGATCAACTTCATCGGTTCACCAATAACAACCACCAAAATGGAAGATTTCAAACGTATCGCCGGCAAAAAGGGAGAGAGCCATTAATGTACTATGAAATTGAATGAAAAAAAAAAAGAATTAGCTCCAATATTTCTTTGGAATTATTTTTTATGTTTCTCTCAAAAAAAATTCGTCTTTATTTTCATCTTTTTTATGCTTCTCGTTTTGAGACATCCGATTTAAACAAAAATACAATTAGAAAACCAATAATATACTGAATGCGAATACAATTGCAACTAATTAACTGCATTAAAAACTTTTTAAAAAGATAACAAACCACCAATTTTTCTTCGCTTTAATAAAGTTTTTTTTTTTTCTTCTTTTTTCAAATTAAAATGATGCCATCTTTTTAAGACTGTGTTTTAATTTTTGCTAAATAATCTTGTAATCCCCTCCATGCTTTTTCCGCCTGCAAGTAAAAGATGAAAAAAATCTTGAGTTTTGAACGAAAATTGTCCCAGTGAAACAGAGTATGGTTTGTGGCTTACTTGTTGGCGAGAAAATTCGTAGCTCCATTGTGTCGAAAAGACGACGGTTGACTCTTGGACCATGATCTCGTTAGATGGTTGCGTCTCAATTCGTTGTATCGCTTGTTCTTCGGTCAAGTTATCGCGATTGATCAGACGTCGAATTGCCTGTTTCGAAATCAACATTCGAAATGTCCATGAAAAAGAAAAGAAACAGCTTGTAAAACCAGTTAGCTTACCCGTTCGGTAGGTACAATCAATGACCAGACTTCATGCATCTCGTGTTGCCAACCGGCCTGCAATAGCACTGCTGCTTCAATCATAACGACATCGTGACTCTTTTCCCTACGAACGTTCTCGATTCGATTTTTTACTTCTACCATCAACAATGGCCACACAATCTGATTTAATTCGTTAAGTTTTTGCTTATCCGCGAATACGATGCTGCCCAATTTCTTGCGATTGATTCGATTGTCTGCGGCATTTAGAATGTCAGTGCCAAAGTGAGCAGTGAGTTTGGTATGGCACTCCGTACCTGGTTCGTAGATTTCATGGGCCAATTTATCACAGTTGATAACTGTTGCTCCAAGTTTCTCAAAGTGCTGGGAAATTATACTCTTGCCCGATGCAATGCCACCAATCAATCCAATTATGTATGGATAGTTTGGTAAGTGTGGTTTTGGTGTTGGCTCCCTGAGACGTGTGCCAAGCAAATCCATTCGTCGATTGCTTGAACTCACTTTCTTCTCTTTGCCTTCCTCATTCGTTTCCAGTTCGATGAGGTCGATGCAGTGAATTTGCAACTCCCTTAAGTTAGCCGCTTTTCGTAATTCGTTCACCTTCTCACCGCCGCGAAATGTTTCGGCACTCACGATTATTATCTGTGTGGATGAAATTGATTCAGTATTATCAATTGACATTTTCTTCAAAAGGACGCAATGTGGTTTGGAAAAAGAGAAAAGCATCATTACATCTAAATTCGGATCAGTTTTTGTTGGCCCAAATGGATCTTCAATCGGAACCACTTCATAAGTTAGCGTATTATCAATGGCTTGTAAAAAATTGCGAACATCACGAATTCTCGTCTCAACCGGCAGAATCAGTTCACGTAGCAATTTGGCTAAAATGAAAAAAAAAATCAAACAATCACAGGTTAGAATGATGTTTAGCAATGCACAATGAATGCACAATAAATGCTCGAAATGAAATGCTCACTTTTTATCATGTCTGCATCAGTCACACCGACAACGACGCGTTTCTTCGCTCGAAGAACCGCTTCGGTGAGCAGCATTTTGTGTCCGACGTGTAAACGATCAAATGTTCCGCCCAAAACTACTGAATCCCCTTCGACAGCATCAGCATGGTTCTCATGTAATTTGGAAACATGTGCATCGGCCCCATCACTTTCTTCATCCAATTCATTGGAGAATTCAATAACATTCGTTGGCTTGTATCGGTCCATTAGTTTTGATGTTTCATCATTCGAAATGCCGTTGTCGAACAGCAACACATCGACTGGTTTAAATGGTATCGGTGTCTTTTGCCATAATAGATTATCTTTCAAATTGCCAACGATAACGATCACATCCAGTTGATCACATGTTCGTAACGATACCGAATAAATGTCAGCCACGTATTTACAATATCTCGATTCGGGTTTCAATGTGTTTACAAATTTTCGATTTTCATTACTATTTACAGTGGCTCCAGCTCCGGTGTATAATTGAATGTACAATGTATTTGAAACGTATTTTTTTACAGCGGTCAAACTATTTACAATTTTCGCTAAATTTGTAACGACCAGCAATCCCGTGCGAGCCATCTCACTATACACAATCACATCGACTGCTCTTTCTCTTCCTCTCTCGCTCTTTCAACGAAACCACCACACAACGAAATTTATCACGGATTCACAAAATGTAGGACAAATCAGGTTAGAAATGGTTGCTTTGCTGTTTCCGAATATCAGATATAATTAAATTCCATGACAAGTGAACAACAACTTTTCTCCACGTCGAATTTTGAATCAGACACTCGTATCTAAGATTCTAATTATTCAATGATGATCGTTATCTCCTTTCGACGACGTATAGACAAATCGAAAGAGCGAAAAAAAAATATCAAAACGAATCGCGCGAAAAAACTCGTCCAATTCCAAAAAGCTCTAATCAACAACTTGTTTATTTACTATTAGCACCACGGTGGAATATATCTTCGTATTTTTTTTTTCTTCTTCTTCTTCTTCTTATTAGTTATGCATTGCGATTCGATCACACCAGTGTGAACAAAATATTTATTATCTCTTTCGCTCTTTTGTCTGTCTTTATTTGATGGTCACCCCTTATTCTATATCGTTTTTTTTTCTCGCAAAACCAAATCACACAACTGCAAGCAATTGAAAAAGAGAACAGATTTGATAGATTGTAAACAGACTAAAACATGACATATGATAATTTTCTCAGTGCACATCAATGAGGTTATGTTTACGTGTAAACGAGTCATTATGTGTTGTAGTGACACTGGCTAATGATACGTGTCAAGAAGATTTTACACACATTCCGTATTGTCGTTCATTGAAATTCACTGTGTGCTGTATAAACTACTTTCTGAATTGATTGAACCAATTTGATAGGGAATTTTCTTCTAATTTAACCAAAGAACTGAATACACAGCTAATAAAATGGAAGGCGTTCTACTGGTGAGTCAAGAGAGTAGACTTGTCATTTTTTTTCCGTTTCTCATTACAATGTGTTACGATTTATGTTATTATTGAGATACGGTTTTCACAAATGCGTACATGTTATTGCAGGAGCCGACTTTGTTCACCGTCAAGGGAATGTGCATTTTGGATAATGATGGCAATCGAATTCTCGCCAAATACTATGACAAAAACATTTTGGCCACCGTCAAAGAGCAGAAAACATTTGAAAAGAATTTGTTCAACAAAACGCACCGGGCTGCATCGGAAATTATCATGTTAGATGGGCTGACGTGTGTTTACAAAAATAATGTCGATCTCTTCTTTTACGTGATGGGAAGCACACAAGAGAATGAGCTGATTTTGTTGTCAGTGCTAAACTGTCTGTACGATTCCATCAGTTTGATACTGAAGAAGAATGTGGAGAAGCGAGCAGTATTGGATAATTTAGATATCATCATGTTGGCATTTGACGAAATCTGTGATGGCGGGTGAGTTGAACAGTGAATAGAATGGCTTTGTGAACGCAAGTATTTCATTGTTTTATGTGCAAACGTGAATTATTTGTATTAAAATTGATTTCTTTTTCTGTGTTTAATTGAAACAATAATAAATTTTCATTCGCTTTCAAAGAATCATTCTGGAAGCGGATCCATCGGCGGTGGTGAAACGTGTCGATTTACGCAACGATGACATTCCAATCGGAGAGCAAACAGTGGCACAGGTAACCAATACACTCAACGGTCTATTTTGGTAGTAGATCTTTTGTTTTACAAAAAAAAACAATCGTACCCAATCGAACAAAATGCAATTATATCCCACACTCCCTATACGAACAAATTGACTCAATCTCTCATCTTTGTAAAAGATAGAAAAAATCACACACACACACACAATGTACTCTATACCAGGTTAATTCAATCTTATGCTTTTATGTTTTGCCCTGCCTTTATTTGTTTGTTAAATCGGAATTGTTTTACAAAAAATGAATTTTACCAAACAAAATCTTATTGTTCAATATATTATTAGATGATGAAAATACCTTCAACATGCCAATTTGTTTTATTTTATTATTTCATTGTTTTTTTTTTAGTGTTTTCGATTTTTGTTATGTTGTACAAATATATTTCCAGTGATTTACTAATGCATTTTTCAAACATTTTCCATGCAGGTGATCCAATCAGCAAAAGAACAACTTAAATGGTCACTTCTAAAATAATCTACTTTTACTTTAACCTTCAAAGAATCTACCCATTCATTTACTAATTCAGCCAAGAATCCAATGTAATATTATTTTAACACAGCAAAATAAAATTGTAAACGAAAAATGAAGAAGAAGAAAAAAACATTTCAAATGAAAACATCCATCAAGTCCTTTTTATTAACCGCCAATGACCTTTCGATGGTGACAGTTGGAATTTTTAATCAAGCTTCTACTCCTATTCGCTCTTTCACACGCACATACACACAATAATAAACATTCGATCTCATTCATTATGTCTATTCAGGTTGAATTGAGGAATAACAGTTTAATTTAATAATATTCATTTATTTTCCATATTCTTTACAGCCGAAACTAAGCATCATTTGAAGTAGTTTCGATAAAAATCTATTCAGGGATGTAATACTCTGTATTTTATGTCTTAACGAATATTTCTGTTCAATAAAATTTCACATTTTGAAAATTAGAAAAAAAAAATTAGAAGCAAACAGAAGAACGTATGTGGTATAGGCTTGTATGTGTTTGGTTTATTCGGTTTGACGAAGTCTGGCCAAACGTTGGGTAAGTTCATCTTGTTCTTGTGATACTTGAGTCGATTGTCCGACTGATGCTTGTGGACCGCTTGGCAACTCCATGTTCAATTCCAAACTGTAATAAAAAAAAAAGAAGGCATACATAGATAAAATTCAAGTTTCTGTTTAAATTTGATCGGTTCAGTTGAAACACTTACCCAGCTTCATCGGCAACTTGTTGTAGCAATGAATCAACATCGCCCTGGGGCACAGCTGTGGTTGTTGTTTGTGACATGGTATTTTCCATGTACGAGCTTTGAACATCCAAATCTTCGAATTGTTGCTCAAATTTATCCATCAACGATGAAATCTTTTCCAAATTCATTCCCTTCATGGCAGCGTCCATGGCGCGCACAACACCAGTCATCGATGTTGTCACCTGCAATAATAAATGTCATTCATTTTCAAAAGTGTTTTGCGATTTTAGAAACATTCGACACAGAGTCGATACTCACATTTCTTGTTGTCAACGCTGATTGGACACGGCTAGCAACAGCATCGACACGAGCACTCATTCGCAAATAATTTACTTTTTGATTTTTCTGTCGGATGGCATTTTCAGCATGAATCCGGGCTACATCTACATTTCCAGCCGCAATGGCTTTCTTCGCTTTGGCTTTTTCCAGTTTCTCTTGCTTTTCACTCTTTTTTGACTGTCGTTCCAGGTCTTTCACCGCAAATTTCAAATTGAACAAATGCTCTGCGAATAATTCGATTAGAAATTATGTCAATTAGTTGATATGCACACACCCATAACAAATTCGTAAACACTTACTTTCCATGGCTGACATTTTTCTATGTTGTAAAGTGTTGAAGTTGCTTCTTACGAGAAAAAAAAACGATGCAAAAATTTTATTTGTGAAGGACACACAATGTTGTATGCTGGAAATACGTGTATTATGTGAATGTATAAAATGAGCTGCAAAATACCCAATTATTTCGATGGACAATTCTATTCGATTACGAACTAAATTACAGCGCGTTGTGGATAAACTTAATTAAAAGGGAATCTGAGTTGTGAAATAATTCTTTGTAGTTGATCGATTCAGTTAGTTCATCGCTTAATGTATACATGAAAATGACTCATATTCCATATCTGTCAAATTCACTAAGAAAATATCAATGTACGAAATATTTGAACAAAAAAAAAACCAATTTCTCGTTTGGTGTTGTCGCATTCGAACAAAACGTTCAGCTGTCAAAAGTCATCGATTCTGCACTAGCGAATAAGACGTTTTTGGCGGCACTATTTTCAAATATTTGCATCAATGTGAACCACTTATTATTTGCAAAATAATAATGGACTCGTATAGATGAAAAACCTCTAGACGAGATTTAAATGGAGTGAAGCTCCTGTGCGTGGATTTACCACTCAAAATGACTGATATCATTTTGAGTGACGCTAGGACGCTGTATTATCACTGGGTACGAAGTTCAAAAGTGTTTTTCGCATTCACTATTGTGAAAATTTATTAACAATAAGGAGAAATATCTTGCGTCACGACTTTTGGATGGCAAAACGCTTTAAAGCTTGACTTGGAGACTAAATTCAAAAGTCGTGACGCAAGATATTTCTCCTTATTGTTAGTAAATTTTCACAATAGCGAATGCGAAAAAAACTTTTGAACTTTGTACCCAGTGATAATACAGCGTCCTAGCGTCGCTCAAAATGATATCAGTCATTTTGAGTGGTAAATCCACGCACAAGAGCTTCACTCCATTTTAACCTCGTCTAGAGGTTTTTCATCTGATATCACTAATTTTGTAAGGAATTTTTTTATTTGGAAAAATACATTTTTAGCAGAAGTATGTCTGAGTAACACATTTGCATTCTAATTTCACAAATTCTGGAGATTACACAATCCAATTTCCACTACCATTGAAAAAGTTCCATTTTCCTCTAATTTAAATAATTTCCTCTAATTTCGCACATTATAAAATGCGGTAAAATATGAATAACTTTCAAAATATCCATAAAAAGTGTGTTCAATTGTCATTTTCAGTGGAAATAGAGCAAGTTGAAAAATTCACTTAAATCCGACCTATTTTTCGACCATGAAAGAGCCTCAGATCGCATTATAAGCGGATATGATAATATATATGTATAAACATATAATAACTTTTAATCGATTGCTCGTCGAAAATTAAGCGGATATGGCCTTTTGTGAGCCTTTCCAGCCAGTCAATGCGTGCTTTCGGCAGCAATTTCATCGTAGAATGCGACTCTTCGTACAAATTCCGTTCATTGATGAATTGCCTATGTCCAGAACTTCGAAATATGAATTTTTCCGGATATATGGCATATGCCATTTTGTTGGTATGGTAGCCGGCTACAAACGCTCAGTTTTTGGTAAAAGATTGTCGGGCTGATTCTTGAGAAATCGCGTTCGGTGTGAAATCTAAGGGGGTCGATTTTTCATAAAAATCATGCCGGGGTTGAGTACGACTTTTGTAAATAATTTAGTACGATTTTTGTAAATTTGAGTACGATTTTCGCTAATTTGAGTACGATTTTCGGAAAGTTTAGTACGATATTCGGAAAGTTGAGTACGATTTTTGTATGTTTTAGGACTATTTTGGTTTTACCCACTCCATATTTGTGATGAAAAAAATGCGAATATTATTGGGAAAAAAATATTATTGAAAATGTGTCGAAGAGTGTGAGATGTGAGACGAGTGACAGAAAATCTATACAATAGACAGCATACCCACGAGCTGCACAAATACATACACACAAATACATTGTAAAATAGCCGCTAAATCATATTCGACGCGCGACACAGTGACACACAGTCAGTGGAGAAAAGCATTTCAAAAGAATACGTTGCACTTGCGCATACAGTCACTCATTCGATTTTTATTTATACTTCAATTGATTTTAAATTTATCATTTTAAAATAGAAAAAAAAAGAAAATGCTAGTTGTCGTGTATTTAGTTTCACCGAAAAAAATATCATCATTCCGCAAGAATGGATAATGTCATTGTCCCAAGAAACACTCAATAACGTTGGCAAGGCGTTGGAAGAACTAAATGTGTCGATCGAAACATTACCAACTGATTCGGTACCAAGTAGTGACGATGATGTAAAGAGTATAATGCCAAATGTTGAATTGGATGAATTAGATTCAATTGCCGTATCAAATTTCCTTGATGACGAATATGTGGATAATCAATGAGAAAAATGACTAGAATGACGTTTGGTTTGGCGCCATCTGCAAGTAGGAAGTATTTTGCCATACAAATACGTTCTATTGTTGCTGTCATTGGTTGCTGTCATTGATAGTTGGCAGTATATTTATAAAGAAGTTTCATAGTTCAGCGTGTACCGTCAAGATGTCGCTTAAATATAGCATAAACATGTGCTCCATATAAAAACATAGGCAAATTTTATCATTGGGATAATGAACGAGAGAACACGGCCGAACCATAGGCGCGACATGAAAAAAGTTGCTTGACAGCGCCGAGTACTCCCACAGTGGTGAGAAACTAAAACACACCAATGACCAATATTGATGTTCACGATCATCAAATTGTTCATACTAAAGGAGTTTCATAAAATACAAAAGAGAAACTCAGCGGATTTCTCATTTAAATCTCGCCATTTGGTCCTTCGACTGTGAGTGTTCAAGTTTTTCAATCGGCATTATTGAAAAATTGAACAAACAAAGTGAAGTTTTAGAACGAAAATATCTGCATTGCATTTTTGATTGCAAAGTGTTGGAGCACCGACGTCATTCTTCATTTACGGCACATCGCATCATCGTATGACACCGTCGAGAGAGCGTTCGATTCAACGTAAACAAAAGTTCGTAGCATAAGCAGTTTCGCCAGTCTTCTTCACCGAAAAAACATTGCAGTGTACGTCATTTGAGATTTCTCGTTTACACCGGGCCTGAAGGACTTTTTGTGCAATTTCTGCGAGCGAAAACCTCTTTCAAACATTCGGGCTAATATGAATTCAGACACAGCGGCTTCTGTGATCGTTTCTGTGCTGTTCGTAAAGCATCAGTGTAACTTGAAAAAAAAGTCTCCTTCTCTCAAAGTGTGTTTTGCATAGTGTTGGAGAAATCGCCGCCATCTTTGTTACGGTATTTCGTATACACCCGACCGAGTGCAGTCAGTGTATTTTCAACGCATAGCACCAATCGTCGCAGTAGACTTTTTTCATCGTTCCAATCAAAACAAAACAAACAAACAAACAAAAAAAACATTCGGCTCAATGTTCATAGCATAAACACAGCGGCTTCTGTGAGTTTTTTCCTTGTTCAGTACTGTTGAATGTGGCATCGTCCCGATTGCTGTGCCGGTCCATTCCAGTGACGTTTCAGCGAACAAAAAAAGAGAGCCCATTGAAACTTTTCATTGTGTTTTCGTTGCATTTTGAGAATACAGTCACAATTTCGGCATTTGAAAAAACTCTCATATTTCGACGGTAAAATAAACAACAAAGAACATTCGATTTAATGTTTATCGATCATAATCGCAGCGGCTTCTGTGAGTTTTGACAATTGAAAAGGTGCAAATTCATCGCAATTTCGTTGAATTCAGAGAACAGAGCCAGTTACAAGCATAGTCACAGTGGTTTGGTGCAGAAAGTAAATTTCACCTGCCAATTTCTGGTGTTCGGTGAAAACTCTAAAAGTCGACAGTGAATTCGTCGCCATACAAAGTGGGCATTGTATTTCGTTCCGCAATCGAAACGCAATTCGTAGTATACGGTAGTTCGCATCGAGTGTGCTGTGTCATTGGCGTTCTGTGACTTTTCAACGCACGCGAAATTGGTCGCAGTATCCATTCGACCGTCCAAGCTACACAAAAACTCAACACAAACGTTCTGTTGTATTTCGTCCGTCAATCTGAGTGGAAGTTAAATCGGTGTACAATTCAGCGTGCATTTCTGGTTTTTTCCCTTTCGTTTGAGCGCTTCAATTTCCCGTGTCTTTTCATCGACCGTTTCCCATATCGGCACATTTAACAACAATCTTTTGGAAAATTTCGTCACATAGTACCATCGTTTAAAATGGGTGACGCACAAAAAAGAGCGGATACTCTCACCAGCATCTCTCGAATGTCGGCATACTTCGAGAGCAACGAGTTTCAAACAGCCGACCTAGCTGATTTGGAAACACGTTTGGATCGTCTGGTGAAATTATTTAAAAAGTTTTGTGATGAACACGATAAATGTGTCGCTCAAACGGTGTTCAACAGAGAAACTATTGAATCATTACAAAAGGGGAACTAAATAAAACGCGTTCGTTTAAGCTGAAGGTTTTAATTTAATTGATTTCGATATGTTACTCAAATATGACAAATGCACAAAGTACTACAATTTCTGTAAACAAAGAAAACATAACATAAAACATGTACATGTGTATTACTTATTATGCATGAATTTGCTGACAACTGCATATAGCGCATGCATTGAGCTCATATTTCTCATTATTATTATTGTTCATTCCTGAACATACTCCCCGGGCACAAAAAAAAAAACGTATACTATCAAATTTACATTGCAGTTAACTGAACTTGAAATAGATGATATTTGATATAACTTTATTAACAATGGTTCAATTTTACACAAACTGGTGCAAACCGTAGGAAAGAAATAGATAATTTAAACAAAACATTCAAGAGTACAAATTTGAATGAAAAATTTTTCCTTTTTGAATGTTGATTTTTTAAAAAAATTATTATTTTTTTTTCTGTAAACTCCGCATTTCACATATATGTAGAGTACAATCCAGTGCATTGTCCTCAAGTACGTTGATGAATTTGCTGTGACGCACTTGAGACATTGAGATGAAATAGGTTGATTCTGACAGGAAATGAACCCATTCAATTGCTCAAATCGAGAAAATCATTTGGCCATACATTTGAATGTCGTTGGTGAGTGTGGAACGTCATACAAGCTGATCGTGGTGGTATTAATATCATAACTAAGCAATGGCTCATAGAAATTAAATGAAATAGGTTGATTCTGATCAGAAATTTTTTTTGCACATTTGCTCAAACTTTTTGTGTGAGAAATCCCCCTAGAATGTGTTTTTCCTAACTTCTTTATGTTGAATGATTTTGATTCAAGAAATGGCAATTTTTCTAGAGATTGATTTGTATTGGCACTGGTTAG